ATAAAGGCAAAAAAAGGGACAGCCACCAAAAGTCGGGGGGTCTGCGAATTTTCCTGAACATGGACGTGTACAGCAGCCATTCCCTCAAATTAAGTCGCACAAGTACGCCCAGGTGGGGACGCAACTGCGGAACCAAACCACCCCGAAGGAGCCCATCCGAGAGATCCCATAGCTTTCAGCTTTTCGGGAGACGACAGAAGGACAGAACCTGAAATCCAGGGTGTTGGTACGTACCCCTTTACACACTGCGTGGACCCAAAACCGCTATAGCCGCCATAATATATAGCCCTTGTAAAGAGGGTTTGTAACTAGGGAAGCCAAGGGCCAATGCTCGCAACGATCCTCTTGCCCCTGTCCAGTCATATTTCTGCCGGGGTTGGTTGGGCAACTCTTTACCGGCTTTTCTAACCAGGGCGTGTAACCCAACTGTAAGCAAAGGGTGAAATAAGTGGCCAAATTCGGCCGAATAAAGTCTAACCAGTTGCGGGGGGGTTCTTGGCAGGTGGTACGATGTCTGAAAGAGTTAAGTTCCAATTGCTGATTCTCCTGGGATAGGCTTGAACCTATTTCGGGAAACCTGCACCCCGGCGGGGAATGAGACGCAAAAAAACAGTTTAAACTGATTCCCTGCGAACAGTTTAACTTTTAGTAGGTTACATTGAAATTCCCCATTAAACCCTGAAAACCTATAAACCTGAGGGGAAGACTGGGAACCACCAAGTTAGCCAGGGCCATATTATGTTGACCTGGATGTAAGTAGAACTCGTCCTTTTGATGGGGTGTCGCCTTTGCTAAACTCCCACATTTGACGGGGACACTCCAATCTCTCAAGATCAGCAAAGGGTCCTGCTTGATCCGGGGTTGTAAATGTGATTTTACGGGTCTACGTTCCCCACTTGGGTGTTCGACCAAGTTGGTAAGTTGTTGGCAACCTAGGTTATAACTCACTTACAAGTCCCCCGTTCCGAGGAGCTTAGCTTGGGGCTACAAGGTGGCTAACCACTTCAGATATATCTTGGCCGAAGACCCAAGTACTGCACCAACCAAAGTTATGACGGGTTTAACATCCAAGTGGGTTAAATGGAACCCCCACCAAACCAACTAAAAAGCTAGAAAACTAAGGAGCCGGATGGCCGGTTGCCACCAGGTTCGCTGGGGTTTCTTGGCTGAGAAAAACTTGGTTGCCGTTGACTTCTCTGCAAAAAGTTTAACTATCTATGGGTTCAATCAAAAATATCTTGATTTCCCCAAAAAAGTTAAAAGCCTAAAGATCCAGCCCAACAGCCATCTATTTCAGTAGGGGGAACCCTCGCCCAAAAAGTGGTAAAAGGGCCCTACTGGGGGACCTATATGGGGTTTCTTGGCTTTGGACGGAACCTCCGAGCCGGAGTTGGGGCGCGCTTTTGATCTGAGAAAAGGAAACTCTGCGCTCCCCGCGGGGCGCGCGCCTCGTGTTTAACTTTTTATGGGTTCCATGAAAAAACCCTTGATTTCCCCCAAAAAAGTGAGAGTCTAAAGATCCAGCACAACAGCAATCAAAAAAATGAAAATCCCCCCGGACGCCTTGTGCACCTCGCTCCGGATCCAGATCAGCAGCCCCATCAAGGCCACCGGCAACAGCAGCTCCAGCAGCACCGAAGCCCACTGCCGCGACCTACACGGATGGACTCGAGCAACCCTGCGGGGCCTTTCTTTTTTCTGACCTGGAGTCTCCTCACTTGCTGAGTGAGGGGGACCAACAAAAAGGGTCAACACTTTTGACTTGCTGCCAACATGATCTTCACAAAACGCAAAAAAAAAAATCGAGGAACTCAGGAAAGGAGTCCCCTTTTGAACCAACATAAAAATGGGGTCATAGGTTTTACATGATGTTTTCCCCTACCTACTATAGGAACTGAAGCACTGGGTCTTGGCATCCCTGAGCCAGATCCAGGCGGCCAAGTGGATGCCTCCGTCCCGCATGGATGGATGAACTCTGTTTCGCGCCCAGTTGGTAGAGGAACGCCTAAAACCTCGTACCTGACCCTCTAACTATCCATCAAACAGGGAACTCGCCCATTTTACAAGCTTGGGTTGCACGAATTCACCATTTTTTCAGTTGGCCGCGTGAGGGTCCAGATCTACATGTTTTTCAGAAAGGCGGTATCGACCGCAAACTTCGTCTGCGGCAGTCGAAGGCAGGCAGATGACCTCCGACTCTGAGCCCAGGGGTTCAAGCCAAAGTTTAAAAAGAGGGGTCCACATACCCACCTATTCTTGGTTGACGTTGGGTTAGGGGAGCAAAAATTATCAAATCTTAGCAGTTCAGTGGTTGAATTTCCACCACTAAACCACAATAAGCAAAAATGTAAAATGTTTCCTAACAACGACCATGTATTCTAGCTCCTCCAGATTTGATAGGGTAAGAATAAGGGTACCCTTTTTTTATGTAGTCTATTTTAGTGGGGGAACCCTCCCCCAAAAAAGGGCACCAGTGGGGGACCTTGTATTATCTACCTAAGGAGTGTCATCCAAACTTGGTCCCAAGGCCATGATTTTACTCAGATGCCCAGTGGATTTCCATAGGAACAAACACACTCGGCGTCCTTCTTTGGTTGGTTGACTTTCAAGAAAAAACTCAAAACACAAACAAAAGTCGGCAAACAAGAGGCGGAGCATCCACTTGCAACTGACAACAACCAGTTGCAACCAGCGGACGTTCCGCCCCTTTTTTGCGACTTTTTGCTGGGTTGCAACCGTGTTTGTTTTGTTCTTCTGGGGGCCCTTGGCCTTGGGCATCCCATGAGAGTCTCTCGGGTGCAAGACGTTAACGCCAATCAGTGACCTCAAACTCATCTGACCCATTTCCACATGTCCAAGGTCAATGCCACATCAATTCTGGGCAAGTCTTCCTTGTGTCTGTTGTGTCTGTTGTGTTTGCCTGCTTGTTTGTGTGCTGAACCTCTCTCCCAGCGGCTTCAAGGTGAGGTTCTTCCGCAGCACCGCCCCGAGGCACCGAGTGAAGTGCATCAGCTTCCCCATGGCCCCGCGAAGAGCGCGGCGGAGAGAAAAAAAAGGAGGATCTGATCCCCCACAAGTCACCGCGTTTTTTGTTTTTTGTTTGGTGTGTTTGTGTTGTTTGTTTGGTCTTGTGTCTTTTTGGGTCGATTCTTTTGGCGATTTTTCGCGCTTATTTTTGGGTGAGCTCAGTCTGCCAAGAGCTCGGAATGGAGTAAGGGAACTCACTTGCAAGCAATCACAGCTTTACTGTTTACTGTTGGAGGCCTTGACTCCAAGGCTTGGTTGACGTTGGGTTAGGGGAGCAAAAAATCTCAAATTTTAGCTGTTAAGTGGATTTGGATTTCAACCACTAAACCACAATAAGCAAAAATGTAAAATGTTTCCCAACAACGACCATGAAGGGGACTCCTGATTTTTGGAAGCCTTGGAATGTCTGAACTTCTGTATCAAAGCTGCAGCTGCATGTGTGACACTTCGTCCGCTTGCTCTGAGGCCTCGATGTACACCTTGGCGACCTGTCTGCAACTTTGAGATAGCCACGATTTCAACCTGGACCCTCAAACTTCCATCAAAAAGGAGGAACTCAACCCATCATTTTGCAGCAATAACAATTGTGTAGGACTTTTGAGGGTCCTTGAAGATCAATGACATGCCAAGACGATGAATGACACAATTGACAATGTGGATGCTCAGCGCATCAGGGACACACACACACACATATTCACAACCACACTATCAAAAACCCCTGGCCGAAAACCCTAGGAAGGGCGGGCGGGCGGGCCGCTGGCAAGCACAGTATAAGTTCTCACCCTTCTTGCTATTCGCTTGGGAATGTGAACACTGTTCTTTGTTCTTTGCATACATTGGATACATGTGTTTTGGGGCCCTGGTTGTTTGATAGGAAAACTGACAATCTGCTGCCGGCATGAGCTACGATGGCCCTTTTTATCGGTATCCTCATAATGGTTGCCTAAAAGGCCACTAAGAGGTCCATGAGAATTCCTAGTCATCCCAAGATAGGTCTCTTGACCATGCAAATTGAGCCCACCATGCGGGTGTGTCGGCGAATCTGCCAAGGATATGCGTCCTCTGCCTAAAGATACTGCCGGGCCCGAAAGCACACCACACACGTCAAGGCCTTATTTGGACTCCATATTGCCTGGTGTTGCCTTGCCATGGCCCACAAAGCCACAAACCCATAACACAGTCTATTGGGGGGGGGGGTCGCAACAATTGGAATGTTGCGACACTAACAAAGAACTCTTGGTGACAGTGTTCTCTGGGGATGGTGTGTATTCCCGAACTCTTTTTTGCACCCCCACCCATAAAAAAAGGGAAACTCTAGGCGCCAAAAAGTGGGCCAAATCTGGGGCCCGTTTGTTTTCTTTCAGCAACCCTCAGGTATGTTCTTACATCCAAAAGTCTGCCCAACAAACCCATCAGCATTGGGCCTAACACTGGGGCCTTGAGTGATGGATCCAATCCCAGGAACGCCAAACATGCGCCTTGAGCGCTATTCCATACTGTGGATGGTTGCGAAATCCAGAAATGGCACCACCGAACTCAGAAACCAGGGAATGATTCGATTCCCCTGCAAATACCAACAAACAATCATTTCATCATGGTGTCCAAGAGGTGCAGGATTTTCTCCATCCACAGTATTTGGCCTACTTTCTAAAATTTAAAGAACTGTGGACGAAATGGTGCAAGATGATGGAAAGTTATTGTCTATTGGTATTAACTGGTGAATCGAATCAGTCCAGGGTTTCTTTGGTAGTGCGACATGGTTTTCGTCCATCCACAATACTTGGTCTACCCTCTATAACATCTAAAGTACTCACTTCCCGAGTCGATACCCCAACCAAAATTCCAAACTTGATGTTTTCCTCTAAAGTCTCCCAAAAGTTTTTTGAAGCCCCATGAACCCAATAAGTGAGAGTATGTTTGGAGACCCGAGGTTTGGGCTAGGAAATCCAAGCTAGCCACCAGGCGCATGTTTTCCTGCCAACTTTCACTCTGCACAACGCTTGGCAAAGTAGGCCCATTCCTTGGCTGAGACTCCGACGTCTCTAGAACCAGGGACCATACACAACCCCCAATGTCGGGGGACACTCCCATCCAACGGGCAAGTCTACCTAATCTGGGGTTGCTATGATGCTTTACGGGCTTCTGTTTCCCGAGTCGCCAAGTCAGTAGGTTGTTAAAAACCGTTTAGTTGTAGCCCACGAATAAAGGCTCACATTACATGTGCATAAATTGTAAATGTGGAGGCCATGTAGTTTGAGTAATATATTAGGGTGCTAGCCCAAGGATTGTTCTTTGTAAAGGCGTCATTTTGCTGGGCTGTCCAACCTGATCCCCTGCTAAATGTTCAAGTTCTGGGTTAAACCACTAAACCAAGGAGACGGACGGCTGCGACCCGCCAAGAGAGGGGTCATTTGGTACATGATCACAACCATAGCATCCCCCCAACAAAACAGCACAAGGAAAATACCAGCTAGGTCCTCCAATAGAGAGGTTAGAATAAGGGTGTAGTCTATTTTAGTAGGGGAACCCTCCCCCAAAAAAGGGTGAGAAAGAGCCCCCAGCTGGGGGACCTAGCCAGTCACGACCACGACCCATCCCAAAACAACACAAATGGCCATGGGTCAAACTCCAGTACCCCCAGTCAACAGTCAACATCCAAATCTCCACTAAAATAGGTTCTAAAATGGATGATGAATTCACCTACCTCAAAATGGGATCCCAAAACGGTTTTGACAACCACAGCCAATTCAGGTACTCCTCGATTGGTCGTTTGCATTGGAGGTTCCATGTTCACCCTTCTCTCAGTTGTTCAGTGACCCTGGAAAAAAAAGGGAACCCTTTTTGAGGAAGACCATTTTTAGTGGGGCCGCCACCAAACAAAAGGGAAAAAGGGTGCCACTGAACAACTGAGTTCTTGAGTTGGTTCCATCCGACTACCCAAGGAGTCAAGTTCCTGAAAGCCATAGCCGCAAATGCCAACGAGAAGCCCATGGATTGCGAGTGCTACTAACAAAGAGCGGGTGAAGCCAATCGAAACAAATGTGGCTGGGCAAAAATGGGTACCCTGGGTACCCATTTAAAATGGCTCGCAGGCCCTGGTAAATGGAACCAAGGACTAAAAAATTAACACCTGCAGTCCCAAGGTGTCAAAAGATTGAAGCATGCCCATGTCTCAATTTTAGGGACTCCGCATGGGTTTTCCTTTGCCACACCCTGCAAACAGACCCAAGTGGAAGCTGGCCCTAGCCTGTTTCATATGGGATCCACCAAGCAAATCATGCCGTGGGTGCGAAGTCCATTTCGCACCTTTCAGAAACCATGGCTTTTCACCAGTCTTTGCTACTTACGTTCATGTCATTCCCTTGAATTTCATAAACTAGGTCCTCCAGTAGAGAGGTTAGAATAAGGGTACCCACTTTTTTCCGTCGTCTATTTTAGTAGGGTCCCGAATCCTCCCCCAAAAACGGGTGAGGAAGACCTAGTAAATCCAATCCCTCCCCCCCCCAGCCGGCTCGTCCCACGCCAAGGTCACCGGCTCCGGCGGCAACTCCTTGGCATGCCGCGCCTGAGGAGCGATTTTTTTGCAAAAGCGACACCTCAACTTGGACGAGGAAAACGGGGGGACCTGGACCAAAGTTCCAACCCAAAATTCCATGGGGCTTTGCGACCCAAAGAGGGGGTTGTCTAACCACTGTAAACGCGATGTGGAACCGTGTGCTCTTTTCTGCTTGTCGGTGTTCCACCTCCCTCTTGCGACCCAAAATCATGGATTGTGCGATTTTTGTTGGGGGGGCAGTTCGAGGGTTGAAGTACCGGAAAAGAAGATATGGGGGTTAAGTTAATCAAAAGATCCGTGACACATCTAAAGTGACCATTAGGGAAACCAGAAAAAATAGTACAACTTTCACCACTAAATTTCATATTTGGTCTACCATAGAATACAACACAGCTTTGGGACCCCAGAAAACCCCAGTTCCGCATCATGTGTTTTGCTCACGACTGATGACTAGTGTTTACATCAGAGCCTTTGACAGATTGGGTGTGAGTTTAATGCTGGACCCTGGCGGACAGTGGACATCAGAATTCGGTGGGGCGTTTTGACCACCAAACACTTGAGAGGGTATTCTTTCAACTTCACCGCCGTAGCCCCTCATAGGTACCCGTTCAGGATTTACCCTTCTAGCCAGGGCCAGGAAGACGTTGCTTTTTGTGCTTGCATTGCCGGGGCGAAGGTTCCCTGGGCTTCCATTGAGGCAAAAGAAAGTCCTTCAAAGCAGGGGTCATGATTTGGGCTCCGCTTATGGTGGTTCTCCAAGTCGAGAGTCATGGGGGCCAAGAATGGGTTTGCCCTTGAGAACCCCCCGAGTTTGGGAGATCCCTTGGGGCGGGCATACTGATGACCAAAGTCCTTCACCTGAGCAACCCTAGAATGATGATCCCTCTGTTAATAACAACAGGGATCCTTACATTATACACCTGAACATTGCCTTGTAAATGGTGGCTTCCCTTTACTTCGGTGGAAAAAGCAATGTTTCAAATGGGCAACATGTATCTTTTAATCAGCCCTGAACAGAAAACAATGATTTCAAGCTTGGTTTCATTTCCTGGTACGAAATGGATTTCATCCATCCACAGCACTTGTTCAATGAACCTGTATAGCATGTCGGCGTGTCTCAAAATAGGGGGCTCTCAAAATTTGGTGCGAGTTAACACTTAAAACCCATCCCAAGGATCCCCTCAAAAAAACGACGTGTTTGTTTTCTGGGTACCCCTGTGTTGTGGTCTTCAAGGCAACCCACCAGGAAAACCAAACACAAACAATTTGGTTGTCTTCCACCTAACAAAAAGCGACGCGCCACCCCATGCGTCCATGGGTGAAAATCCCGTACTCCCAGAGAACATCCCAATCCAACCACTAAGATAGGTTCTAAAATGGCTGGTGAATTCACCTACCCCAACGGTTTTGACAACCACAGCCATGTCTTGGTTGCTATTGACCTCCCTGCAAAAAGCTCAACTTTTTGGGGGGTTTAGTGGAAAGCCCTTTTATTTCAACCAAAAAGTTAAAGCCTAAAGCTGCAACCCACTAGGAGTCAAGATCTCGTCCGCCTTTTTTTCGGGGCTGCCCGGAAATCACCGGAAGCTGCCCGGGCCGCCGCGCCCGATTGGCCATGAGGCGCTCCCGGTGGTATGCAGGCTCCAGAACGGCAGGCAGACAAACCTGGGCTGGTACCCAAAATGGCTTGCCGGCCAGCCAGAGCGGGTGAAGCCAATCGAAACATGTGGCTGGGCAAAAATGGGTACCCTGGGTACCCATTTAAAATGGACCGCCTGGTAAATGGAACCCAAAACTAAAACCTGCGGCCCAATTCCTGGTTGACATTTGAGCCATACCCACAAGATTGACTGAAACCTTGGTTGCTTTCTGCTCCCCTGCTATCTCTCTCTCGGATGCAGAGCGACTCCGCGCGACGCTCAAAAGCATGCAAAACGAAACAAAGGCACTTCAGAGGAAATAATGCTAAAAGTTTTTAACTTTTAAGTGGTTTAATGCGGAAAATCCATGAGTTGGCAACAAACATGAAGTCCTAACATCCCTTGGCAAAATGCACCAAAGAGCCGGCTGCTGGAGCACACAAGTGCTGTCCTCCACCCAGGGCAAATACCTGGCGCCGGATCTCCGGAGCCCCGGAGCCCCGGAGCTCGATGCGTGTTTTCTCCTCAGTCGGACTATGTCTCAAACAGTGGCTATGAATTGTGCCCGTGGGGCGATCTTTCTTTTTCATTTGCGTTGATTCTTCATTTGTTCCACACCCTGGCCAATACGCCAGATCGCTCGAACAAAGAGAGAAGACTATAGGTCTCAAACATAGATTGGAGTCCCCCCAAAATATGGTATTCCTGTTCGCCCTGTATAGACGAAATCCGGAAATCGCACCACCGTTCAGAAACCGTGGAGTGCTGAAAACGCTGTGAATGCCGAGAAACAACGGTTTCAACCATGGTTTCATTTCGTGGTGCGAACGGATTTCGTCCATCCACAGTATGCCTTAAACATAGATTTGGATTCCCCCAAAACGGTGATTCTCCTGTTTTCCTTGAGGTGAAAAGGGTACCAACTCCAAGAAACAATCGATGACTCCAAAATTGTGGCTTTCATATCTTGACTTTCCGTTTGACTTTTGACTTGGGTGAAAAGGGAACCAAACAACACACACCATGTGGTTGCAGGGGGGGGGGGGGCTGGCAGACTTGTTAACAAGACGATCTTCCAACTTGAAGTCCGGGGAGTGACGTGAGGCCCTGACAATTGGAGCTGTGGTTGAAAGGGTCCCTGAGAAAGACCTCAGTAAGATAGGCAAATACTCATCTGTTTTGGTCGTATCACTCGTGGCAGAGCGGGTCTTGGGGAGGGTCACTTGATTTGATTCTGGGTTTCAAAATAGGGACCCCAAAAATGGGTTGGTTGCCTTTGGGTTTCCTTCAGGACCATCTCCAAAAGAGGTTTCACTATTTTGAGACACGCCTGAACCCTCAAACTACCCCGAAAAAAAAAAAGGGAACCCCATAATTTTGAAGCAATAGCCCCTTTTTAAGGGAACTGTGAGGGTCCAGGTACCCATGTAGGAGTCAATATTATGATAGTCAAGTCAGTGAAACCGGCGCTCCCAATTGCCGATCCGCCTGCAGTTGAACCAATGGTGCGCCTCACCATTTCGGATTCGCATGGCTTCCTCGGCGATGCGGTTGGCCTGCGGGATATGAATCTGCGGTTCGGATCCCGAGTGGACATGTCCATGGACCTAAACCCCAACAAATCCAGCTTAACATGGGTTAGTGCCCCCAAAGTATGGGACGAACTCCCTTTTTTTCTGGGTAGTTTGAGGGACCAGGGAAATAGACCGGCACTCCTGGAGTCTCCTTCTGACCCTTTGAACATGGCATCATTACTCAAAAGACAGGGTGCGCGGCCCAATGTTTTTCAGGGCGGTTCCGAACAAAGGGAACCCCGGAACAAGCAGAGCCCCTGGTTGTTGAACGCAGGTCCCCGTTTAGTCGGTGCTCCGCCCACTGGAGGGAACACTCCCCTAGGATGGCCTTTTGCAAATGGGGTTCCCAATCAGAACCCGGTATTACAATGGTTTACCCAGAACCATGCTTCAGGAAATACCAAGGCGACTGCTGTTTCTGGCTGGGATTGTCCCTTACTAACTTTCATCTACCCGAATTTTGATTGTGGCTCTGATGGGGTTCACGAGAAAGGGCTCGTTGCAACCCATTTTGGAAGCCACCGCCGGGTAAGTCTCGTAGCTCGTTTTTCGCCAGGACAACAGCCCGATCGAGTGGACCAACCGTACCAAGGAAGTGAAACATGTCGAACGTTAGCCACAAAATTTGGTTGACGTTGGGTTCGGGGAGCAAAAATTCTCAAATTTTAGCAGTTCAGTGGATTTGGATTTCAACCACTAAACCACAATAAGCGAAAAATGTTTCAAATGTTTCCCAACAACGACCATGAAAACTTGGCACCCCCCAAAAGCGACCACATCCAAAACTTGGAAAAAATGAGGAACCTGCGCTGTGCAAACTGATCCCGGCAAAAAAATGATCAACTTGTGGGTTAATTTAGAGACCCATCCACTAAACCCCAAAAAGCCAAAACAAAACATTTCACCCCACCTTTCAGAAACCAAACGATGATTCCCGCAAATACCAACAAACGTTACAGTTTCGCTATGGTTTCAAGCTGGTTTCCAGCATAGTTTCAAAAACCGTGTTGGTGACACTCGCGGATTTTGTTTATAGAACGGGTCTGGGTTCCCAACATGTGACTGGAAACACCGTCTCCCAGGGTTCCTTGCCCCTATTAAAACAAAGGTTGACCCAATTTGGTTGATGACAACCGGAAATGGTGGTGAAGTATGAACCCAGCCATTGGTTTCAACCCCAGGGTATATGCACCAAATGGTTTTAATCATGTGTCCCTGAAGAGCCTCCCGAGGGAGGGCCTCCCCAGATTTGGTCTTGCATGTTTAATGTTGGTTCAGGTTTTCTGTGTGCTTCATGATGTGCGATCGTTGTTGGGGTACTTTGCCCAAATCAAGCTGCAATTGCTCCACTGCCAAGTGCAAAGGAAACTGCTGCGGCAATTGTGGGGCCCGCAAAGCAGGAGCGAGAAGCCAAACCTTCTGTGTTTCCTTAGTGAGGTGGTTTAGATCACCAGTGAGATGTTGAGGGCAACCCAGTCTCCCAAATCAAGCAAGAATTTCGGAGGGGTTCACAAATGTAGGAAAGTTCAATATTAAGGCTTATTGAGGCTTATTGCGGGGCTTAATAAGGCTTAATGTGGTGGGGAGGCCCCCCCAAAAAAACCTGCGCAGGGACACGCTTTTCACCCCGCCCCCTTCCCCCCTTCCTCTTTCCCCCCCTCTCCCCCTGCCACGCCTCTTACTTCTCAAAAAGAAACAACGTTTTGGTCTTTTCAAAGTGTGCCTCAACTAGAATTATGGGGCATAATATGTTCTAGGATTCGATGCAATTGGCCAGCCAGCGGTCAATCAGTCAATCTGTTTCACATGTTTCTTCATTGAGAAGGGCCTTAATAAGGATTAACTGCTTAATAAGGCTTAATAAGCCTTGATAAGGCTTATTAAGGCTCAATAAGGCTTAATTTGGATTCGGGCATATTTCTTCAAATCTGGGGAGGCCCTCCCTCGGGAGGCTCTTCAAGGACACATGATGTAAGGCGTGTTCCCAACAAACCACCCAATACCAGGCTGACCTTTGGGAGTTTGTATTCGAGCTTCAATGGCCCTCAAAGTGCCAACTTAAAATGGGATGTTGCCCCCAAAAATATGGTTGGTGACTTCCCCCTTTTGGTTGGTGACTTCCCCCTTTTTTGTGGGTGGCTTGTGGGTTCTGCGGCCGCACGGACCCGAGTCCCACTCGAGGGGATGTGGCGATCATTTCGCGATCCGCGCCTTGCCGCCGACCTGGTAGCCCATGAGGCTGATGGGGTGCATGGCCAAATCCAACTGGTACCCCGAGACGAAGGGCGGCATGCACAGGAACCTCACTGCACGTGCACTGGGGGCCTGGACCCAAAAGAACTAGACGTCAAATGGAAGAACTGCACGTTAAACAAAAAAAAAGGAATTCACCAACCATATCTTCTATGGGCAATAAGCCACTTGTTTTTGCAATAAGCCACTCTTTTGGGCAGTAAGCCATTGCTTAGAGCAGCAAGCTTTGGTTTTAGGACAATAAGCCACGTTGTTGGGCAACGAGCCATTGTTTAGAGCAGTAAGCTCTTTTTTTCTTTTTTTTTTGGGGGGGGGGCAATAACCCATATTTGTTGGCGGTAAGCCATTGTTTAGAGCAGTAAGTGTTTTTGTTCTTTTAAGGGCAATAACGCATCTTTTTGGCAATAAGCCATTGCTTTTGGGCAATGAGCCTGTGTTTAGAGCAGTATTTTTTAGGGCAATAAGCCATTGTTGGCGGCAATAAGCTATTGTTTAGGGCAGTTAGCTTTTTTAGGGCAATAGCCCATAATAAAGAAATGGAATTCACCAAGCATCATTATTTGGGCTGCAATGACCCATTTATTAAGGGGAAATTTGAGGGTGCTGGTGTAAATGGTGGACACGTACCAGCACCCCCCCCCAACGGCTCGCAAATGGCAACCCAAAGCGACCATTAGGTCAGACTTGCCAGCCATGGGGGCCTGGGGATAGATTTGTCCAACCTTGGCTCCCGAAGGGGGGATGTCTGCTTCCTTTTGAGAGCCGTTGGGTCGGCGCTCTCGAGCTGAATGGATTCACACAAGTCAAGCGGCCATGAATCTAAATACGGAACCACCTCCAAACTGGTTGGTGGACATGATGAAAAAAACTGTCCGTCTCCATGACCCTTTAAAAATGGGTCCATGACCCCTTTATTTTGGGTAATGACCAACCATTTTTAAAGGGTCAAAAAGACGCCAGGTACATGATGAGAAAACCTGTCCGGGAAAAACAACAACAACAAAAAACATAAATGAATCACCAAACCAAATGGACTGACTCTTCCGTCTGCGCCACGCCATTTCAGAATCCCTCCGCCAGGGGCCCAGATCCGATGAGTCAAAGGGCACACCCTGACGGCTTCGAAGGTCAGTCAAGCGCGAAGGCTGGAGCAGCCGTGCCGGCAACCATTTGTTTAAACAAAATGCCAGTGGATCCATTTACCTGTATAGTGCATAAAACGACGAAAACCATCCTTTAAAAAGGCAGAAGGAAAATACTTGGTTTCCTAACTGGGACCCAAGGCAAAACTCAAAACTGGTACCGAGCCCATGGAATTCGTGTCGGGCTGCACCACATTCAAAGGCAGGAAGGCGTTGTCCCAGTGTAGCCGCACATTCTGCCAGCGCAACGTGGCACTGCGGGCCAGTGACACCACGCCCACCTCGAATCAAAAGACACCACCGGGCTCAACGCCGCTCATTCTGCTTCGCGTGAGAAAGCTGTTCAGCATGTTTGACTAGTTTGTAGAGCCATTTTTAGTAAGCTTCAGATAACAAGCCAACTGTTCAAATCTGATTTGGGGTTTGCCCACAAGTTTGGCCCAATGAGATTTCATTCGGCAAGGTAGTACCGCTTCGGAGCCACGAGCTCTCGGAATGCAACGAGGACTGTACTAACCAGAGCCGCGTGTACCTGGAGTCTCTCTTGAAATGGGGTCATTGCCCAAAATATAGGGGTCGTGACCCCATCTTCAAAGGGTCATGGCCAGGTAGTAAATGAACTTCTCTCGGGGCAACTCTAACTAGCAGGGTTCTCTGGATTCAACATTACACAAAGCAACCCGGGGGGTGCTGGGGATGCAGCCGCTCCACCAAACAAGTAACAAATCAGCAATCGGGGCTAAGCCCCGGCCGTGGGTTCCCCAGAACTACTGTGGATGGACGAATTCCATTTCGCACCACCTTTCAGAAACCCTAGAATGATAATATGATTCCCCCTGCAATAAATACCAACAAGCAACGGCTTCCACTTCCACCCTGGTTTCATTGTGGTGGGAGACTCACAGATTGCGCAACCATCCACAGTTTGTGAAGAATCTGGAGAGCGTCACGAGGATTGTGCAACCTAAACGTGGGTGTCTCAACAGAAGGGTACCCCGAAACTTGTTGCTGTTCCTGTTGGTCTCAGTTTATTCCCACCAAGAGGCTTCCCTCCCCAAAAAAGTCAGCCCGCACTTGGAAGTGCCCCAAACTCCCGGTGGTTCCATCTTCCCACGTTTTTCGACGCACACCCCAGAGGGTGAAAAAAAAAAAACCGGCGCCGAATCGGCGCCGCGCCGATGCGCCGAGCGAAGCGAGGGGCCAAGCCGTAGTAGGCCCCGATCCAGCAGAGCCGTTCCCTGGTGCTGGCGATGCGTGTGGCCAGCTCCAGGTCGCGTAGCTTCTTGGCCTGCTTGATGTCTGCCTAGCCACGCTTGGGTGAAAAATCCATTCGCCAGTGCTTAGCCACCTGGGTTATGATATATATGTGGGTTACAAGCTACAGTAGGAAGCCTGCACCCTCCTAAATCCAAAGCGTTGTTGTATCCAACATTTATGGTTGGTGCATTCCATGTCTTTTTGTATGGCTAGTTTGAGGGTCCGGGCAGGTATCGGGACTCAGCTCCACAACCGACCTGGAATCTCTGCCCAGGGCAAAGATCCCATGGCGTTCTGCCATTGGGGAACAAATGGGCGTGGGTCAAAAAAATGGTACCCCAAATAGATCTCTGGTAAAACTAACACCTGAGGTTTTTCTAGTGGTTTATTTTGACCCACCCAAATGGGTGTCGTGTTTCTAACTTCCGTTTTGTGGGCTGGCCAAAAAGGTCTCCAAACTGTGTGCCTAAGCTACTAAAATTGCCATACCAACAAATACAGTCCTGGAATTCAGCCAGTGAGGTTTTGAGTCGACCCGCAAATCAGTGCATTGCTAGTTTGAGGGCCTCTTCCTCTTGTTTACCAAAAAGGTGGTGTTTACCCCAACCACAAAAACTACCTAACAAAAAACAAGTGTCTGTGTTTTTGAGGATGTCCTTCCCAAACTGGTTGACGTCCTTTTTCCGGTCTTTCCACCCAAAAAGGAAACTGGTACGGTGGACGCCCTAAATATTGCAAGTAGGGAGCAAGGGAAACCCTGTAAATTCCCATGGCTTGTGTTTGGCATGCAATATTTAGGGCATCCACCGTACCTGGGGCTGGACCCACAGAAAATGGACCTTCACCAACCGTGTTTCTGGCGAGAACCATCTTGCTGGCATGTCGAGGGTCCAGGTACTCCGACTTGGTGGGTTAAATGACAACCCCCACCACCTACAAAACCTAAAAAAAGCCTAAGGAAATGGGACTGGTTCCCCAAATTCGGTTGGAAACCAAAAGGAAATTGCCAATGAGGCTGGTTCCTCTTCAAATCGCAGGGCGGACAATGACCGGAGAGTCACCTAGGAATCCATGACGGAAATATAGACGTTTGGCGCGGCTTCCCCTTTTTGGGGTACTTCACCGGAACGACAAACAAAAACACCACCCCTCCTTTTGGCAAAAAAAAAAAACGGAAACACCACCCCTCCTTTTGGCAAGAAAAACATGTTGTTGCCCAATTTGTTTATTTTTTTTGTTGTTGCCCAATTTGGTTGACCACCAACAGCTCCGTTGCAGAGGCCCAGGCACAAAACAAAGCAGATTCAAATTTCGTATGACAAAACCCTGGAGCCAAGAGCTTGCCGCCGGATTTGTTGCACGGATTTCTGGGCTTCTGGATGAGCGCATGCGGGTTATGTTCCCTTGACCCCTCGAATCCCCCCCCAAAGTCCGAGGTTTTCAGCGTTTCCCTTTTTCATCCCAAAAATATAAACTCCGTCAAGCCTGACATGTTGTTTCTATTTGAGTACATTGGCTCCTCTCGCAAAAAGGCCCCTTAAACTTGCTGGCCTTCAGGTGGATTGAGAATTAAACAAAAGAAGGAAAACATCGTGTATTTTTGTTTAAGAATTACAAAGTGGGTCCAAAAAGGGGCTTCCCCGAAAGATCATTTCAGATCGATTCACGCTGCTTGCAAGTGAGCTAAAACAAACAGACCCAAAACGATCTCTAACAAAAGAAAGCGAGCCTCTCCCGAACAAAAGGCTATTCGACAACCCATTTACTCACTGTGGATGGGCGAAATCCATTTCGCACCACCTTGTAGAAACTCCCCAAAGTAAATACCTCAACAACCGATGGTTTCATTCGCATGGTTCCACAAGCTGTGGCGCGAGACTCGCGGATGCCTCGAAACGACCCCTGATACATGATTCCACTATAGGCCCTGGAATGAGTTTTCAACATAAGTATCAACAGACGACAGTAGTTTCAAACACGTTTTTTTAGGTGGTCCTAAAAAACCCAATAATGATTCGACTCCCCTTTAGATACCGCAACAAACGATGGTTTCAACTCCATGGATTCTTTATAGGTGCGAGACTTGCGGGTGCTTCACATATCCACAGCAGACCTGGAGTCTCCTTCTGACCCTTAAAACGGGGTCATAACCCCTTAATTCTGGGGTTATGACCAATCATGTGTCAAGGCTCAGAGGGAGACTCCAGGTAACTCAACGACCAAAATGAATACTCTTCATACAGAAAAGGATTTGATCTAAAAAGACCCGAACCTTCTATTAACCCCTCCCGCATCAAAACAGAAGAACTGGCTGTGTCAAAAACACGTACCCCAAATGGAACCCTGGTAAGTGGAATGAACCAAAACCTGGCCCCCCCAAGTTTTATTCATTTTGACCCATACCCAGCTCTCATACCGCCCCTCCAATCCCTCGCAACCGCCCCGAACTCCGAGCTCCGCTCGAGCCAGGCGCCAGTTTGGAGTCCAACACTCCCCCCCGCAGCTTCTCCTCCAGCGAGGCCGCCAAGCCCATCCGCCGCGTTTCCCGAGGTTTTCAAGCGCCGCGGTTTGCCAAGAGAAGGAGAGAAGGAACACCTGTGTGGCACGGAAAAGAAAGAGGAGAAGCACCAGGAAAAACCAGATGTGAAGTGTTGGGAAGTTCCAAGCTCAAGTGGATGATTGTTGGAAAGATGTGAAGAGTTCCAACCATTGAGGTCTCAAACATCTCATTTGCTTGATCCTCACTTGCCCGACGGACCAAGAAATACATGGTCGACAAAAGAGAATCCAACGGACAAGATATGGCTGTGGTTCAAGACCCTGTAGCCCTGGTGAACATCAAAATAGGTGGTACATGTGTTCATCCGCCCTAAAATGGAGCCATAGGTTATGACCCATGGCCATATTCCAGAAGCGGTAGTCCATTCCTGGCTCGAACCTGCGTGTTCTTTTGCGCCTCTTTGGCGCCTTTCCGGCAAGCTTGAGCCGGACTTCAATGACGCTGGCAAGTCCAAATGGACTGGTTGCCTAAATGGGTCCTCCAGTAGAGAGGTTAGAATAAGGGTGCCCTTGTTTGGTGTAGTCTATTTTAGTAGGGGAACCCTCCCCCAAAAAATGGTGACCCCATGCCCATGACTACTTCAGCACATGGAATTCGCCCGGAATCACAAGTGGCCAGAAATCCCAATACCAACTTCCTGTGCGCCGTCAATCAAGCAAGCACGGTTTCCTGCTGATCAATCCTGAGTCCCCATCATGCGCCGTAAAAACCAACAGTTGTCCACAATCATCCTTGAAATAGGAGCAATTCAAAGGGTGCCGGACCCTTTGGGGGACGTCATTGGAGTCACAATCAAAGCCCGGCATCAAAATCGACCCAGAACCATGTAAAGAATAAAGAAGGCGGCCGCAACTATTTCTGGCTGGGACTGCGCCTTACTAACCTTCATCTACCCGGGTTTTGATTGTGGCTCATTTAAAGTATGTTGAGCAGCCACTGTTCAGGGGTTCCCTATCGAAGTTCATGGCCAGATATTACAAATCTACCAATCAGCTACGGGGTCCTCATCGCTCCACGATCTGCTTTGCAACAACGAGAGCTAACAACAAACACCCTCCAAATACCCTCGCACCAAATAACATGGAATCTGACTGGGGTTGAACGGAAAATGGTGTTCCAGGACCCCCGAATGTGAAGTTCCATGTTCATGGGTGGGAGGGTACCTGGAGTCTGCTTCTGACCCGAATCAAAAATGGTTGGTCATTACCCAAAAAAGGGTCACGACCCCATGTTCAAAGGGTCAGAAGGCTCCAGGTACATCTTTTTCGGGGGTGTCTAGCTTGGATCCGCGGCTGCGCGGCTTTGCCGCGCACGGCCGTCTGGGCGTGGTGAGAACATTTGCGCTGGAAAACCAGGAAAAGGCACCATTGGGGTTCAGTTACCAGCATTAGAACCATGGTGGAGCTCATATGACCACCATTTACCTAAGGAGTGTCATCCAAATTGGGCCCTTGTTATTCTTTAAATGGGGGCAAGGAATCCGAGGGTACTGTCCAAAGAACACAAAACCCGCAATTCCCGAAGTTTGCCGTCGGTGACATTTGCTAAGACACATCAGAGGGTGGACACCCCACTTCGGACACGTATTAACTGGGCACATCTGAGAACCACATACCAAGTAGGGCAGTCATCGAAGACCCTCTGATTCAGGGCTTTCGAGGACATAGCCATGCAAAGATTGAACACCTCGCAAACGAAAGTGAATAGGTCCTCCACTAGAGAGGTTAGAATAAGGGTACCCTTTTTTCTGTAGTCTATTTGAGTAGGGGAACCCTCCCCCAAAAAAGGGTAAAAGGGCACCTAGCTGGGGGACCAAGGTGACGTTACAATTGGCTTGGTGGTTTGGATTGGTGCACCGACACGGTTCTGAGGGGAGGGGTATACGGATGGCTCAGCCCAGCCGAACTTCCTGCGGGAAAAATACCCTCCTTCCCGAGATAGGTGAAAGCGAGTTCTAAAAAGGGGCCCTTGCTTTGCGAGCTCAGTTCGCAGGTGCGGCTGTTCAAGGTGCTGTTTGGCAGTGCCTGTTTTGCGATGCGGTCAGGCTGCTGTGGGTGCTGGTCACGGTGCCGGTTGGTGCGCTCAAAGTGGTGTGGTTGGTGGCGGTGCTTGGCCACTGTGCTTTAACACATGGAATTCCACAACATGGCAGCTCTTCATGTGGAGCAACACCCATTTGGAACAAGTTCTCTTATCACATGTACCTGAACCCTTACCATAAAAAGAGAGAGCTCACTCCTTTTCTTTTTTTAGCAAACCCAGTTTTGAGTTGGAATGTTGAGGGTCCAGGTAGCTTTTGCCAAACAGTTAGTTCAACGAGACTGCACCGTGCCGCCGCCCATTTCAGCTGAAACGTTTGCCTTCTCGCGAAGCGGTTCCGAGCCCGGAGAAGGGGGAGGCGTTGTGTTAAAACTTCCGCTATATGGATGGAGGAAGTCCGTTCGCACCACGAAATGAAACCATGGTAAACCCTTGTTTCTTGGTATTTATGCGGATTCTTATCATTCGTCCATCCACATGATCTTGACTCCAAAAGGTGAAAAGTCAAAAAGGTCCGCCAAGTCTGGCAATGACTAGGGGCCAATTTAGGCCCTGCGCCGAAAACTTCCTCTCAGCGCTGCCCTTCTCGAGTCCTGAGCTCGGCCCGGCAGAGCGACCAAAAACGGAGTGCTCCGGCAATCTGCTGCCGCAACCTGCATAGACCACATCTCGACTTGCCGGAGTCTTGGTGGATTTGCTGACCGCGCCGCCTTTCAGAGCCGATGTTCTGATGGATTTGCTTCTCTTGCCGGCAGGGCGGCCAAAATGATTCTCACGACAGAGTGCTTCGGCGATTTGCTTGCCAAAATCTGCATAAACAAGATTGCATTGGCAGCTGCTGGCCGGCGAGAAGACCCGGCGCGGCGGCGCTGGAAGAATTCTGCAGCAGCACCCTACGCAACTCTCAGTACACCCTCAAGCTGCACCCTGCAGCAGCACCCTGTGCAACTCTGAGCCCCGGCCTGCAGCAGCACCCTGCAACAGCGCCCTGCAGCACGCTCCGTGTCTCGGCCTGCAGCAGCACTCTCAACAGCACCTTGCAAAAGCACCTGGTTCTGAGTCTCACACACCCCTTCTGTACTTGACCTATAGCTTTCAGCTATCTGGGGTAAAAAGAGAGAATAAGCCCAGTAGCAGGGTTGCGCTTTTTGTCGACTGGTAGACCAAAAACCCAAAAGGAGAACCCCAGGGTTCAGTCAAAAAGTGGAACCCCCAGCCGCCCGGAAATTCCTGCAACCCTGCTGGAACCTTCCGGAACCCTTGCTGAAAACTGCCCCATACCCCAAACCAATGGCCCGATAGCTTTCTGTTGGGAAAAAAAAAGACGGACTGCTTTTGAAGGACACTTGCGACCTCCGGTAGGCTTCGGGGCCAGGAAGCCAGTTGATGTCGCCTCTTGCCATCCCAGAAACGTGCTGATACCTGCCTGGAGTCTCTTTCTGACCCGAATCAAAAATGGGTCCATGACCCATTTCTTTATTTTGGGTAATGACCAACCATTTTTGATTCGGGTCTAGGTACAAGCCCGCGGGCTCATGTAGAACCCTGGGATTCGAAGGGCCTTTTGGAAAAAGATGCCACGCCTCTGGATGGACCAAATCCGTGGTTGAGATAGATGATCCTACTGTTGGCTACGAAAAATCACCAACGAAACCCTGGCTTGATATGATCCCATTGCAGATCCCGACAATGGCATCCCATGGCAGGATTTCGTCCATCCACTGGGATAAACCAACAAACCGCTGCCCAACTGTAGGAAAGTGCCCATCGGCAGTAAGCCAAACTGCCAAAAGCAGCCTTTGAGGTGCCCTAACTGGTAAGAAAAGGCCATAACCAGACTTATAAGTGGGACAGCGAAACTTGGCTGAGCAAAAGCCATGGTGATAGCCTATTTACTAAGTAGGCTGAACATGCAACTAAGGGTGCAAGTGTCCTTTGAGATTGGTTTTGAAGAATAAAGGGGTCGAAGTACCTTAGAATTAGGGCTTCGTCGATTTGAACGGACACCACTAAACCAAAAGGCACGACTGAAGGTCCGGCCGGCCCTCAAAAAGAACTTCGGAGCTTAGATGAGTTTGGAGCGAAACTTTTAAACTGGGCGACTCCCTGAAACTATGAGTAAGTGGCCATCCTAACAAGTCCCCCAAGCTGGTTGCAGGTAAATACACAGGCAACATTGACACGATATGAGCCACGGATATGTAGATTGTGCCCAGAGCACAGATGTTGGTGATTCACGCCGCACTTCCGACAGGCACAAATGGTATATCTAGGTCCTCCAGTAGAGAGGTTAGAAGAAGGGTACCAACTTTTTCCGTAGTCTATTTTAGTAGCGGAACCCTCCCCCAAAAAAGTTGGTAAAAGGGCACCTAGCTGGGGGACCTAGACATCATGTATCCCAAATCTCAGTCATTGACCGCTGGTGTGAATTCCACTTCCGTTCCGGGCGGCTCCGCTCAGAGAGAGAGGCAATACTCCATAGGAACGTCACAGGGCAGCTTCCGAAGCATGGCCTCAAGCACAAGAGCTTCAGGCAACCCGTCGCCCGCTTTGGAGTTGCCGCCCAAAAGAACGGGACCCATCAAAACATATTCCCGGAGTCTCCATGGCCCTATAAAAATGGGTCCCTGACCCCTTTATTTCGGGTTATGACCCTATTTTTGAGGGTCATGGAGACTCTAGGATATCGGATTTTACAAGAATTCCCGAATTTGGGGCTGCAAGTTGCGCCATGTCTAAGTTGGAACGTCGAGGGTCCAGGCGCCTATCTTTTTTCACCTTGCTTCCTGTGGGCAAATGGGGCCCCCGGATTTGCCCCCCCCCAACCAAAAAAAACAAACTAAAAAAAAACACCTGCTGAGAAAAGGCCGATGGCAAAGCTCGCTCTCTCTCTCTCTCTCCATCTTTGGAACCCGAAGGCCACACATCTCCCAAGTCTTTCTCACACCATTGTCTGGGTCCAGTAGAGAGGTTAGCATAAGGGAAGCAATTTTTGTTCTGTCTATTTTAGTAGGGGAAGTCTCCCCCAAAAAAGTTGGTCAAAGGGCACTACTGACGGGGACCTAGTTGTAGACCTGAAGCCTCCCAAAAGCCCCAGCCTCCAGAATGGGTTACCTATAAATGATGGAATGGGTGAACTCCAACTCATTCTTATGGGTCCCGTTCTTTGGGGCCCTCTTTTGAACAGAAACCAAAAGCATATCAGGCCCGGATGGAGGGGTTGATTTCGAGCAAGCCTTTCAGGAGCTTTCTTTGGGCAAAAGCGGTCGCCTTCTTAGGTATCGCCTCACTTCTGATCGAGTGGATTGGCCAAACAGCAAATGGTCCAGACCCAAAAAGTGACTAATTAAAGCCTTGCAACTTAGGGAGTGGGTACCCAGAAAACCCGTTTAGGTGTGGTTCATGTCAGGTAGCAGGGGTTGGGCCAAATGTGCCCAAACAACCGAGAGAGTTCAAAGGGAGGTTCTTCAAACGATTGAGCTGCGCTCAAAGCCAGGTGAAATGGTTACTCAAGTTTATATAGGCCGCATTAAAGCCAGATGATACCGAATCGCGCCCCCATCACCAACTATTAGGGCCCAAACACACCTAGGGACCCGTTGGGAAGGTACCAAGAGACCAAGGGAGGGTAGGTGCAAGTCGGCCAGAAAGAGTGGCCAAACTTTTTGTGCACACAAATGGCCGCAGCAAGTGATTCAAGCTGGTCTTCTTCGAGTGACTTTCCTAGACCAGAATCCAGAAAATGCGTTTTGTTCCCAATGGAAAGCCCAACCCAAACAAAACAGGCATTCCTGTTGGAATCCCCAAATGATGAAAAGGCAGCATTCCCCTGAACCCCAAGCTTCGGCCGGGGCGGAAGCGCGGGCCGCGCTAACATGCGCTGGCCACGAACCAAGCAACCAAGCAACCAAGCAACCAAGCAACCAAGCAACCAAGCAACCAAGCAACCAAGCAACCAAGCAACCAAGCAACCAAGCAACCAAGCAAGAAACCAACCAAGCAACAAAGCAACAAACAATCCAGCCAACAAGCCAACAAACCAACCAACCAACCACCCACCCACCCACCCACCCACCCACCCATCCAACCAACCAACCAACCAACCAAACAACCAAACAACCAAGCAACCAACCAAGACACCAACCAAGCAACCAAGCCACCAAGCAACCACGCAATCAAGAAACCAACCAACCAACCCAACCAAGAAACCAACCAAGCAACCAAGCAAGCAACCAAACAACCAAGCAACCAACCAACCAACACACCGAGAAACCAACCAAGCAACCAAGAAACCAACCAACCAACCAACCAACCAACCAACCAACCAACCAACGAACCAACCAATAATTCACCGACCAACCAACCAACCAAACAAACAACCAACCAACCAACCAACCAACCAACCAACCAACCAACCAACCAACCAACCAACCAACCAAGAAACCAAGCAACCACGCAACCAAGCAACCAAGCAACCAAGCAACCAGCCGGCCAACCAAGAAACCAACCAAGAAACCAAACAACCAAGCAACCAACCAACAAAACAAACAACCAAGCAACCAAGCAACCAAGCAACCAAGCAAGAAACCAACCAAGCAACAAAGCAACGAACAATCCAGCCAACAAGCCAACAAACCACCCACCCACGCAATTCAACAAACCAACCAACCAACTAAACAAGCAACCACGCAACCAACCAACCAACCAACCAACCAAGAAACCAACCAAGCAACCAAGCAGCCAAACAACCAAGCAACCAAGCAAGCAACCAACCAAGACACCAAGAAACCAACCAAGCAACCAAGCAAAACCAAGAAACCGACAAACAAACCAGCCAACAAGCCAACAAGCCAACAAGCCAACCAACCAACCAACCAACCAACCAACCAACCAACCAACCAACCAACCAACCAACCAACCAACCAACCAACCAACCAACCAACCAACCAACCAACAAAGCAACCACAAGGCAGCAATATATAAATTAGGTGCTGCTCCTATAAGTTTGATCCATCCGAAACGGTCAGGCCTGAGAGAGCAGTTCTTCCGCGTTGATGCGATGCAACAGCTTCACATCTCCTGAGCTGTCCAAACGTGCCACAGTCACGCACTCACCCTAATGTTGACCCCATATGAATTAACCCCAGTTTACATAGGTGGGTGTTCCCCTCCAAAAGTGATGATTCCCCACTAAACCCAGGGACCCCCCTATTAATAAACTGGGGTTGATTGACATGGGGTCAACAAAACGCCCACAAAAACCCCGCGGTCGTCTCGCCGAGCCGCGCTCGTTGTGGCGAAAGCAGAGGCTGGCAAAGTGCAGCTCCGGACGCCACACGCGCAGCGTGTGCGCGACCTCCGCGGCATCCGAAGCCGCGCCCGCGGCGCCCGCGGCTGGGAAGCGCCGCAGCAGGGTCCAGCGCCCGCGATCCTGGTGTCTTAAGATTTTTTCTGGACCCAACCAAAATTCCAAGTGAAGCCATGGGGTCCAGGTGAAACAAATGGGTCCATAAGACCTGGTGAAAAATGGGGAACTCTTGCAGCCGCAAAAAATAATCTTAGATATACAGCAGCCAGAACCAATGTGTGATGCCCAAGGCACTTTGCAGTACTGGATATGTACCTGGACACAACCCAAATCCCTAACCGTACAAATGGGAATGATTGCCTGCCCAAAATTATGGAATGGGTGAGTTCCCTTTCTTTGCTATGCGTAGTTTGAGGTTTCAGGTATATAGCTGGGCTGCCCAAACTGATCCCCTGTGAAATACGGAAACTACCACTAAACCCTAAAAGCCCAAAAAGCTAAGGTTTTGGCTGGGAGCCACAAAGATAAACATCGCCAACCTGTGTTGGTCGTTTAAAGATTTGTAACATCACCTGTTTGGAGTTGCTCTTCTGGGTGAGGCTTTCAGAAGGTGTAGGGGACCCTGTTCTACTTGGTTCTTCGGCGAAGCTCGTCAGTGGTTAGCCACCTGGATTGTCACCCACCGACAAGGTCAACTCCACTTCGGGAAAAGTATAGGTGGGTTATATACTAGGTGAACAGCCACTTGCTAACCTGAACACCCTAGTTGGATGTGAATGTTAATGGGGGACTTAGGTGGGAATGTATGTCCACCAACCATCATCGAGGGGCGGCCCCATTAAAATTCGTAGCACTTGGATGTTCATCGCAACGTCAGGTAAGTATACAGGTTATAACCACCATGGTTATGAGAACAATCATTTCAGGTGCACCACTTATGCTCAGATGCCCAGTTGCCCAGTGGCCAGGGGAGAAAAAGAATCGGCATCCTTTTTGTTTTGGTTGGTTGAGTTTAAAGGGAGCCCTTCCCCAAACAGAAGTAGAAAAAAGGTGGTTGCAACCGGGTATATTCCTGGCTAACCTACTTCCCCGACTTTGCTTGACTCACTTGCTGAGTGGATGGCCCAAAAACAGTTCAAACTTTATATTTACCACTAAAATGGTCTTCCCAAAAAGTTTAAAGATCACGAACTCAGGAAGTGAGTTGATCACCAAAGGCCCCGAGCATTGGATCCTCTGGAAAATCTAGGGATTTGGATTGGAAGATGTTGGGCCTAAAGCCCTGAGGTCGCTTGGGTGGGTCAGCCCCAGCCCTGTTTGGGTCTTATGGGGAAAACGAGGTCAACACAAAGCTGTTTGGGGGCCTCGTCTTTTTGTGAGGCTACCCCTCTTTTACGAAAAACTAAAAGGAAGCCACCATTTTTTGGGGGGCCCCGAAAGAAAGAGACACCCGTTGGTTGAAAACTCGACAAGTTGTTTTTCAATTCGCTCCCTCGAAACTTGCATAGTGCGAGTCTCCATGGAGGGTGAAACTAAGTTGCCCCCTTGGGCCTTCTCAAACAAGGCGCTCCCTTTCCGCCTGGATTATTTCGACCTGCTGGGTGCGCACTGAAGCCTTCACAGTATGTTGTAGCTAAAGTCGAATTACCACGCTGCCTGAACCCTCGAACTACTCATAAACAAAACAAAGAAACGCAGTGGAATTCACAAACTCCATATTTTTGGGCTGCAAAAAAAACACCCACGCTTAAGTTGGAATGTTGAGCATCCCGGTTCTTATGGGGGAACCAAAAGGAAACCAAAGCCATGCCTGTCACTTTCAGTCACATTCGAGGTGATCCGCAAAGCGTTTAAAGCAAACGGCAGAAACGGTTTGTTCTCGGGTAGACAAGGTGAAAGGGGTACCTGGAGTCTCCTTCTGACCCGAATCAAAGATGGTTGGTCATGACCCAAAAACAAGATTCGGGTCATGACCAACCATTTTTAAGGGGTCAGAAGGAGGAAGTCCCTTGACCCTCACAACTCGGTTTTGATAGCGAAACCCAACTTCTTTATGGGTCATTCTTTGTGGACAGGTTAAACGGGTGCTCACTTCCGATCGAGTAGATTGGCCAGAAAAAGCTCCTGGACCTTGTTGTGTACCACTAAAATGGTCTTGATAAAAAGTTAAAAGTCCAGGAACTCAGGAAGTTGGGGGTATATAAAGCCCATTGCTTGCAGTTACCTCCTTGTGCGGAACCAGCTTGGTTACCTGCCATATGGGTAGCTGACCGCTGGTTCTAGGAAACACAAAAGAAATGCCCGAAACCGTGAAATCGGAACGCCCGGAACGCCCGGAACGTGAAAAAGAGGCCCGGAACCGTGAAATAGAGGCCCGGAACCGTTAAACCCGTTAGACAGGAATCTGGTTCCCACTGTTTTGGGAACCAAGGCTGGTTCCCCAAAAAAGTCGCCAACGGCCAGTTACTAGCTATACAGGTTACTAGGAGTCGCTGGGAAGGGTATACCTGGACCCAAAAGAACTACCCACAGAAAAGGAGAGGAATTCACCCATTCCATAGTTTTGGTTGCAACTGCACTTTGCGGGTTCGGGTGGTCCAGGTACACGGATCCGGGTGGGGCGTACTGTGGATGGACAAACAAATTAGTACACATAAACTTGCCGTGTATTCGCAAGAAGTCTTTCGGGGATCTTTGGGGGGTGTACGCAAAGAAATCAACTGCACAAGGCTTTGCAGTTGCCACCCCACCCAGTCAAGACACCTCCAGCTAACTAAATACGCAATGCGGCCTTCCCACAATTCCGGCTCAAACATCCCAAAGCAACCAAAACTCTAACCAATCTTCAGGTAACCGTCAGCTGGATTGGCGGTTTGGGGATTTGAACCCCTGGCTCTTGAGGGCAAATGGGTTTGGAAACCACCCCTGGACTTGCTGACATCTATACATCTATGGGCTCGGCTCAGAACGTCCGATCACCTTGGTCCCTTCCCTTTGGCTTTAAGAAACCAGTCCAAAAAACCTCACTCAAACAAGTTGGCCGTATTTGTGCTTTGGGTGTATTTTGTGTACGCGTGTCCTCCATGTGCTTGTTCGCCCGAGAAAAAAATATTTCCAAGAGAGATAGAATTCGCTGTAGAACTGGGCAGGGAACATGTGTGAGTGTGTTTGCTTGTTTTTGAGGGTTCCGCTTTTCAGATTGGCTTTAAGCAAGCCAAACTGGAAACAATCATTGAACACTGGCTCCAAGCCCAAGCTTCCTGCAGCAGCTCCGCTCGGGTGATGTTGCAAGCAGTTCCGCGGCGGTGAAAGTAGTGGGAGTAGTGGTCGGGGAAACCGTGAGGCTTCGCCTGCGCAAAGCTGCCACCATTTCCACCCATTTCGAATCCACGAAGTGGTTTACAACCTCCACATCTCCAAACAGCCAAAAAGAAAGTGCTCTTTAAGAACAAAAAAGAAGCTACGTGATGTTCGGACCAAGTTACTGGTCCTTTGAGGGATATGGAGCACAACGCGTTAGCAGGCTTTATTTCGACCACAGGGTCCCGCCTGAAGGCGACCCTTGGCAAGAAGGCGCCTTCTGCCTTCGGCTCCTTAACCCTCTTCTAAGACGTTTCCGCTCCCCCCAAACCCAGTACGCCCAGGGCTTTTTGTTTGCGATATACAACCACCTCTCTCGCCACTTCTTACAGGGTACATACCGGGTAGCTTCGGTTTGGGTGGAAACCATCATGGACCCATTGACCGTTGAGGCCAGGAAGCTCAAAGAGCCATCCCCCCGAAACTCGAAGGCGCGCCATCAGTACACTGTGCTTACTGCGGATGGTTGCGATGCCCATTTCGCACCAAAGAAGCCATGGGAAACTGAGATTTACGGTGGAATCGAATCATTCCAGGGCTTTTTGGGCGGTACAGGATTTGCTCCATCCACAGCATCACCTTTCTGAATTTCAGGACCACTTGGATGTTCAGCAGGTAGGCAGGTAGGTTATATAGCTATGTCGACCAACTGGGGTTGTCTCACTTGTAACCAATAACCTACTTGCCTGACGTGCCCACGGGCCAGTTCCTCGCCCAAGAAAGCACGCTAATGTCTGTGGACCAAACGAAGACAAGGGAGGCTGGGGGGGGAAGCCTTATTAAGGGCTTATTTGGCATGGGTCAAAACCCCGTACCCCGAATGAACATCCCAATCCCCACTAAAATGGACTAAAATGGGTGGTGCACCTATCCCAAGATGGTACCATCGGTTTTGAAATGCTTTGAACCATGGCCATTTGGGCACCCCCCCCACCACCTCCCAGCCCATGAAAACAACCTCCGAATCCGACCAAGGGGGTTCAAGCATTTGAGCCAGCTGCGGATGCCAGCAATTCTGTTGCACTTTCCAAGCGGAAACATATCGGGAAGCGCAAGCCCAGGTACCCCCTCCGGAACCCACCCTGAAACCCTCCCTGCTGTAGGGAGTTTACATGTTTTCCCTGGTTACCTACAATAAAAAAAGCAAGCCTTGGGTAAAATCACAAAAACCAAACTGGAAGCACTGGGTCACACCCACAAAAAAAAAACTCTTTATCGCCTGGAAGACCAGTAAAATAAGAAACCCCTTATTTCGCCCAGTCACATGCCCTTTTCGGAAAATCGGTAAGCCCAGGCACCCTGCTTTCCGCTGCCCCCAACCACTTTTCGAGCCGATCTGGGCCGATCGACCCAAAATTGCAGCTGTTGGTTTGCCTAGAGTCTCCATGACCATGTAAATAAAAATGGGTCCACCCATTTCTGTATTTTTGGGTAATGACTAATGACCAACCAATTTTGATTCGGGTCAGGAGTCAGAAGGAGACTCTAGGTGGGTCAAATCCCAGAGAAAGGAGACCCCCAGTTCCAGTCGCGCCCGTGCCGAACTCGGAGCCTCCACCTTCTGCGACAGCTCGCGGTCGCCGAGTCTCGCACGCGCCTCCTCGACTAAAGGAAGCAACCAAAAGAAACGCACCCAGGGACTACCTGGTAAAATGAGACAGCAAACCAATGGAACCTGACAACAGGTCCTGGAAGACAACGTTTCCCTTTTAAAGGGACCGGGTCCCTGTCAAGTTACATGTTGGGAATAGTTGTTTTTTACTCAGGGTGACTCAGCTCCTTGGCTGTCGAAGATAAATACATAGTCAAACCTCGTATGAATATGTTCACGTAAGGAAATAGAAAGGCGGCCGCGCCTATCCAGGGTTGGGAAATTGTCCCTTAACCACTGCTGTGATTCAAGCGCTTCGCAAAGACCTAAACTCAAAGGGAAATTCCCTTGTATCCCAGAAGTGGGCATAAACCCCTTGATCCCACAACCCTTAGAACCACCTGATAAAATGAGCTCTAGGAGTTTTGGGCGCTGTGGATCCCTGGTGTTACTGGCGTTTGGTAACCCTTTGCCAGCTGCATCAAATCGGGTGGATTGTTCCTTTTGTTTGTCCCGCTGGGACGAAATTATGCACCACGGAACTCAGATACTCTGGAATGATTCGATTCCCCAACGTAAATACTCTAACAAACCTTATGGTTTCAACTCCATGGTTTCATTTCATGGCGGATGACAAAATACGAAATAATTTCACAGCACCAGCAGGCGCGAGGAACCACCTACCTGAACCCGACAATAACCACCTGCATTGGGAAATGCTTGGGATCCATGTGGTCAATGACAGTTCAAACACATACCTTGACCTTGTATTTGAAGGGACCGCAAGCGGTATCTCCAAGTCCGGCGTGTCTAGAAGGCTATCCACCAAAAGAACCTGTTCTCCCTTCCAAGTCACCATCTTTCTTCCCTAGATACTCTGGGCAGATTTGAACAATCTTGCCGATCGGATGCAGCGAGCTCACCCAGGGGTCCCCACCACCCCAATTAAGCGCTTGAGGATCTGCATCATGAGCTCGGCTGAACTTCCAGATTGGTGAGCTTGTAACTTGTCCAGGCGCAGCTTGCTTGACGCCTTCTGGTGTGTAAATTGCCCAGAATCAAGATGTGTGTTCCAAGGCTCGGTATCTTTTTTGGGCTGGTTTAAATGGAATCCAAAGGGAAAACCACCATTTGGGGGGGGGGTAGACAACCCGTTTGCGAAGTGGTTTTAGGGACGCTTTCGTGGACTTCGTTTATGGCCTCCCTAATAGAGTTCATACTGTGCATGGTTGCGAAGTCCAGAAATCGCACCACCGAACTCAGAAACCCGGTGGAATGAGATGATCCCCATGAAAATATACCAACAACCAGTGGTCTCAACCCCATTTTTTTAGAAGACTTAGAAGTGCGTGAAATGGATTTCGTCCGTCAGGAGCCATTTGAGGGAGCCCAAGGGATGTCTAACCTCCATGTTAATCCTATATAGAAAGAAAGATTGGATACGGCCCCCACCTGCCCAGCATCACCAGGGCCACTTGGGGGAAAAGAAGAGCCACGATCCCGCGCCTCCGACAGGACCAGGTCTACATCCCGGTTGGAGGGCAGGCATTGCCCGGTCTGGGCGGATTTGCGAATTTATGTTGGATGAATCCGAATTCGAAAGGATTCGAAAAAAATAAAATAAAATAAAAAACTCAAACATAAGCTTGGTTGACGTTAGAAGGGGAGCAAACAAAAATAGATTTTAGCAGGCAAGTGGTTGGATTTCCCACTAAATCACAATAAGCAAAAATGTGAAATGTCTCCCAACAACAACCATGATATACCATGATAAGAGGTGCCAGAGCTTCCGAAAGGGGAAACAAAGCTCAAGAGGCGCAACCTCCATATGAGCCATGGTCAAAACTCTTTTTCTCTGACATATGGTCATGGTTCCCGCAATACAACATTAGTATAACGGTCATTAAGGATCCTTACTACCAGGTGAATGACAATTCCTGTTATGCCCAGTAAAGGGGTCTTATGACCCTAGCACATATGGCTGTGTCCTTGTTTGGGGATAGCCAAAAATGGTGGTTGTCCTTTTAGGTTCCCTTTAAACCAACCCCAAAAAGGGTACCCTCAAAAAAAGACACACCCACATTCCCCGGATGTGCTTTAATGCTACGTCAAACCCCGACCAAAAAACAGCTGCTTCACATGATCGTCCGCGTTGAGCAGTGAGTGGTCTAGTCACCCGCCAGAAGCCCTTGGGAGAAAAGCGACGTGTTGCCCTCTAAACCTCCATTTGCTTAAGGCCCCAGGAAAAATATGCATAGACCCCCTTTAAAACCAACAGTGGAAAACAAAAGCAAGCTTAAGCAAATGGAAGTAAATGGTGATGTGGATGGGTCTGGGGGGTGGTTTAGCATTTACCCCTCAACAAGGGGTTCAAATATTTGAAACCACCAATCCAAACCACCAATTGGGGCGGGGTAACCTGATGGTTTCAAGTTCAGACAAACCAGTATCCTGGGGTTCAAGCCACCATTGAAACAATGGGGGTTCATAAAACCACCATTGTTTTTGCCTAAGGATTGTCATCATCCAGATTGGGTCCTTGCCTTCGTTTTAATGGGGGTTGAATCCTAGGGAGTAGCTGACAATTTGACACCTTGAACCTGTCTTTCCGACCGTCACCTATCACGATGATGAGCGCTTGCACTCAGGGATCCAACCACCACGCAAAAGACCCTAATCATTGATCCTTATTTGGCTTTGAATCAGTATGTTATGGCCTTGCCGCCCCTTGGTCTCTGAGATTGATGCTTTGATTAATGCTTTTTGTTTCCCTGTTCAACCAACCTGAAAAGGGTACATAGATCCTCCAGTAGAGAGGTTAGAATAAGGATACTCTTTTTTTCTGTAGTCTATTGTAGTAGGGGAACCCGCCTCCGAAAAAGGGTTAAAGGGCGCTACTGGGGGACTTAGGTACCCTCAAAAAAGGAACTCAGCTGCTTCAAATATTCGAAGAAAGGAGCCGCTAAAGGCCGCGTGTTGGTTGTGGCGTGGCAGTCTTTCGGGGGCAAAGCGGCATCCTCAAAATGACCCTGTTAGTGGTGATCCCGGGGCATTAGTCATCAATAAGGGGTAAAAGCCTGTATGGAAGGCCTGATAAATGCAAAACAGTCTCATGTTTCTCAACATAAGTTTATGAAGACCATGAAAATTCCAATATGTAGTTGGGAAGTGCTTGCAAAATCTGGGGCCAACCACAGAGGGTACACCGAACATGCCATGTTGTGCGTTCACCCTGAAACAAATAACATTTTGGAGGAGCCCCAGAAATAGTGGAAGATGTGGCATTCCATCCCCGGGTTTTTTTGGCCGAAATTCAGAGCTCGTGCCCCCGTATTTTCTCCAAACGGCCCACTTGACCAAACCTTGCTAAATGGGCATGACTTTGAGCCAGGGCCTTCTTTGGACATCAGAATTCGTGTCCAACATAACTAGCAACCCAAAAATAAGGTTGGATAATTGGAGAATTCCGAATTCCCCTGTTTTATGACCTAAGATTGAGGGCCCAGGCTCCACCTCTTGAACTTCCCGGGGCTTTGTGGAGTCTTTCTGACCCGAATCAAACATGGGTCCATGGCCCGTTTCGTTTTGGGTAATGACCAACCACCCTAGGGTTCCTTCTTGCCCCCATTAAAACGAAGGCAAGGACCCAATCTGGATGACGACAATCCTTAGGCAAAAACAATGGTGGTTTTATGAACCCCCGTTGCTTCAATGGTGGCTTGAACCCCAGGATACTGGTTTGTCTGAACTTGAAACCATCAGGTTACCCCGCCCCAATTGGTGGTTTGGATTGGTGGTTTCAAATATTTGAACCCCTTGTGGGGCTATGTTCGCGCCCAAAATGTTCATGGGTTTCAATGGTGGCTTGAACCCCAAGGCCTCCAGGGCCCATTTTTCGAGGGTCAGAAGGAGACTCCAGGTATCAACTCGTCGAGGTCCAGTCGTGTCGAGGTCGAGTCGAGGTCCAGTCGCCTCTTTGGACGGCAGCATGGCGAAGGTTCCAGAGCCCACCACCAGCACCTCAGACCTTAGGCGCTTCCCAGGATTTCAACGAGTCCGCGCCCCCAGCAGAAAAACGAAGGTTGAACGGATCCAATGTAGGTGATGACACTCCTGAACGGTAAATAATGATAAAACAAAGGTTCACATTTCACCACCATCATTTACCGTTCAGGATTGTCATCACCTAGCCAATTTAGGTGATAGGCCTTGGGACCCAATGTAGGTGATGACAATCCTGAAGGGTAAACGGTGGTGGTGAGGTGAACCCATTGTTGTCATGGTGGCCTGCCTGAACCCCATAGAGAAACTTGAAGAGTCCGACACTGAGGCGAAAAAATGACCCCTTTCTCTCATGCCCAGTGGATTTCCATGGGGAAAAATGGGGCATCGCAGTTTTTGGGTTGGTTGGTTCTTCTTTTTCAGGGGAGCCTGACCCCCTATTCCAGCTGTACCCTCCTTTCCCCCCCATAGTTTCCTTGATTCGGGAATCCCCCCCACCCGTGGTGTGTAGGGGTCATTCCGACTCATGCTTTGGTAGGGGATGCCCGAATAGAGGAAGCCATGGGGATGGCATATACCTGGAGTCTCTTGAAAACTGGGCCGGTTCATTGCCAAATAACATTTTTCTAGGGGTAACTTCCCCATTCTTTGCAGGGATCCTTCTTTCTGAAAAGAACGATGGCTGAAAAGAATGGGGAATCAACCCCTAGAATTTTGGGTTATGACCAACTATTTTGAAAGGGTCAAAGGGAGACTCCAAGTATCAACCATCCCCCATGCATGGTCCCCTGCCCCTGCCCTCAAAGAATGAGTTGGAATGACCATCCCCCATGGCTTCCTTCCAGGGAGTCTCCGAAACTAACCCTTAAACAACTTCCTAGAGTCTCCATGACCCTTAAAAAATGGTTGGTCATTACCCAAAATATAAAGGTCTTGGACCATTTTGATTTCGGGTCAGAAGGAGACTCCTGGTTGCTGGCTTGATAGGCAGGGAATGAGTTGGAATGCCCCCAAGAAAAACATGCATCCTGTGGCCTGTGCTTTCCTTTGGTCGGAAAAGTCCCCATACGGTTCATTCTCAACACCCGGGCTTGGTCATATGACCAAGGAAGTGGCCAATTTCCAAAGGGCCAGAAGGGGACTCCAGGTAGGATCGATCCAACCAGTGTTTTTTCTCCAAGACCAGGCCTGTTGGGCCTATTACAGCCTTTGGAGGAAACCACCGGAACCCAACAACAACTACCCATAAAACAGTTTCAACTCACCAACCATAATATTGGCCAGGAAACCATATTTTCCTGAACCCTACCAAGAAACTATGGGACCGAATCCGTACATAACCCCTTTGGGAAAGGATTCAGGATTTGAACAGCCCAGCTTTTTAGTGTAGCGTAGAGGGGTGTCACCACAGTTTGAACTTTCATCCGTGGTAAAACTTGGTAGACATACCGAAGTGTTACCGAATTCTGTGGCAAAAATCCCTGAAACCACTGGGTTTAGAGCAGGGTGGGACTCCCATTTACACAGAAGGGCCTGATGCACCTGAAAACAAGAGCCGACTCACTAATTTTGGCCAGCCTTTGCAAACCTTCAACGTGAGAGGGATGCTGAGACGGATTGAAACGGCATCCGGATGGTCAAGTCAGGGGCTCGAAAAGATCTTTTTAACAGAACGATGGTATTGTCGACCCCTGACTAATAGCGCACTTAATGAGGGGGGTTGCTGCTTGGTGGGGAGCCCCTTCTTTCAGGGGAACTCCATGACAAAGAACTGAGGAGTTTACCTGGAGTCTCCAGGACCCTTTAAAAATGGGTCCATGATCCATTTCTTTATCTTGGGCAATGACCAATCATGTTTGATTCGGGACATGGAGACTCTAGGTAGTTTTTCTTAACAAAGGGACACTGACGCAAACCGATTTCCAGCTTGTCTGAGGCTCCCATTCTCGGCCGATCCGTCGATTCGTTGTGTTCGAAAGGGATGGCTGTTCACATTAATGCTAGGTCCTCCAGTAGAGAGGTTAGAATAAGGCTACCCCTTTTTGCTGTAGTCTATTTTAGTAGGGGAACCCTCCCCCAAAAAGGTTGGTAAAAGGGCACCTAGCCGGGGGACCTAGAATGGATGCACATTCATGTGCAGCCACTTGCCAACGCACTCCCAAGTGCCTTGGGCAGCCCCCACTCATTGGTTGTAGCTGCGGACACCAGTCGTGTCACGAACGTTCATGAAATTCCTGCCAGGGTCTTCTGTGTTGGAGAAACCGCCACAGCTGTGAGGTGCTTGCCGTTCCAGCTCCAGTGCGCTTTGCTTTAGCTACTCCTTGGCAGACGCTGCAGCCGAAGCGCATTTTGCCAATCGAGCTGCGCCCAAAACCCATTGTGGTTGGCTCTACCAACACAGTTGCAATGGTTCAAATGGCCCTTACTATCCCGACTAAACAACCTGCTAAAACACTTTCAAAAAGGTCGACCTCCATTTGCGAATACGCCCCCTGCATTTGTTTGTCATATTTCCAGTAGTGATAGGTTCCCTCTAAAACCAACAGGGGGAAAAAGAGTAATATGAAACTCAAATTCCAATCGAACTCTGAAAAACAACTACCCTTTCTCCCAATAACATGGCACCTCAGAAATGGTCCCTAGAGGAAATTGATCTTCCAGGTACCCTCCCACAAATGCTACGTTAGTGGGAGGGTATATCCTTGGCATCCCAATAAATTTCTTAACTCCACTCTTTGGGGGTCCAAATGGGACTACATCTTCCGAATGCAGGGCAGTCCAACCGGGTGGTGAAAAGATCCCCAGTTAATTGGTTTGTGGGATTTTTACGTTGCCCGCAACCCACGTCAACAAATGTGCCCCTTTTGACCCAGAAATTGCGGCCTTTTCACTTATCTGACCAGTGAGAAGGTTCACGCTTGTATGTCGAACAACTGGGGTTGTCTCACTGATAACCATGGTTATAACCTACCAGGACCCTCAAATTCCGCTAAAAATGGCTTGTCACAACTTAAAATCATGGTTGGGGAATTCCCTTTATGGGTACCTGGAGTCTCCATGACCCTTTAAAAATGGGTACATGACCCCTTATTTTGGGTAATGACCAACCATTTTTTAAAGGGTCATGGAGTCATGGAGACTCTAGGTAGTTTGAGGGCTCAGGTATATGGCCATGGGTCAAAACCCCGTACCCCCAGTGAACATCCGATTCAATCCAACCACTAAAACAGGTTCTAACATGGGTGAATTCACCTACCAACCAAAATGGGATCGGTTCCAACATGGTTTTGACCCACAGTCATAGTAGTAGTTAATAGGTAACCAAGGGAGCCATCCCTGCAAAAAAAACAGACACATGGGAAGCGGCGAGTTACCTGCTATACTGGGAACTGGGGGGATCCCAAAACGGTTTTGACTACAGCCACATGACGTGGGTCGACCTGGGGCCTCGGACAGAGGCACCTCCCACTGTTCCAAGGCCTCGAAGAGGTCGTAGGCCTTGAACCCGCCTTCTTCCTGACCAAAATGCGCTGAATGTGTCTAGGGGTTGATTCCTTGAGTTGGGATTTTGAGGGTCCAAGAAGTCAGCTCGGTGTTTTCACGTGCGCTCACCCAACATTCTAGGGGTAGCTTCCCCATTCTTTCCAGGGATCCTTCTTTCTAGAAAACCTCCGCAAACCCAGGGAAAACGGATCCGGTTTTTGGAAAGGACGGTTGAAACGAATGGACAAACCATAAGACCAAGTAGCAGAGCCACCTACTCTACTGTGTTGTTCGGCGCTCGAGTGGAACATTTTGGGGCAAGGGGGGTTTAGAGCCGGGTTGGAGCTCGGGACAAACTTCCGCGAGAAGCTGTGACTTCTAAGCCCCTGGGAGCCCTCACGTAGCAAGGTCTAATCCCTGTGGAAGATTTACCCCTTCATCGCAAAAAAAAAACAGAGTGTTGGGGGTGTTCGCAAGTGTTTCATGTGTTGAAGGATAATCAGTCTAGCGTGTGAATTGCTTTGTTGTACGGTAGCTTGTATAAGGCTGGGTGTGTGCGTGTGTGTTTGTTTGTGTGTTTGCTTGTTTATTTGTTTATTTGTTGGTGTGTTTGTTTGTGTGCTTGCTTGCTTGCTTGCTTGGTTGCTTGGTTGCTTGGTTGCTTGGTTGGTTGGTTGGTTGGTCGGTCGGTCGGTTGGTCGCTTGATTGTTTGTTTGTTTTGTTTGTTTGTGTGTTTGCTTGTTTTGTTTCTTTCGTTCTTTCTGTCCTTCTTTCTTTCTTTGATTGCTTGCTTGCGTGCGTGCATGGCTTGCTTGCTTGCTTGCTTGTTTGTTTGCTTGTTTGTTTGTTTGTTTGTTTGTTTGTTTGTTTGTTTGTTTGTTTGTTTGTTTGTTTGTTTGTTTGTTTGTTTGTGTATTTGTTTGTTGGGGTATTTTAGGTTTTTCGAGGTGTTATGGTGTTTTGCAGTGTGTTCGAATTGTTTAGGGTGCTATGTGTTGAAGTGTAGCCTTAGGGTGTTTTAAGCTTATTGTGGAGTGGACTGGGTGTACTTTATGAGCTATAGGGAAGCAACCAAACCACCAGACCTAATTAAAAAAACAGACCAGCAAAAAAAAAGAACACTACCTCCCCGTCAAGCTACCCACCAAAAGGGGGAACTCATCTGCAGCAACCCATCATTGAATTGGAATCTTGAGGGTCCCTGGAGTCTCCTTCTGACCCTAACAACTGGTTGGTCGTTACCCAAAATCCTCAATTTGCTTGAGTCCCCTGAAAAAAAACAGATCTCCAGTAGTGATCGATTTCCTTTAAAACCAGCAGGGGGGACAAAATAAACAGCATTCTTAAGCACATGCAAGAAATAAAGGGGTCATGCCCCAGCATGTCAAGGATGAGAACGGGGCCCCCGCTTGAAGCCGAAGCCGCTTCGGTTTCTGGGACCCTGGGGCTTTTTGGATGGCCAGTCCAGCGGGTGCTCCCCTTTTTGGGCACCCCCGGTTTTGGATGAGGCGTTGAGGCGCGTTCCCACCTCACATCCTAGAGGAAACTAAAGGTTCAAACTTCGGGACGCCAAGAGGACCGCCAGTTTGGGGCAGCGAAGTGGGACCCAAGTGCAGGAGGGACTGAGCCGTGAGCCGGGCACCAAATTTTCGCCGCGGGACGTGGGCACCAAAAACGGGGCCCCGGGGAACCGGATCGTTTCACTGGCACCAAGTCTGATCCGGATGGCTGTGAAGTCAAATCCAAAATGAACCCAAGCCCGATCGGTAAGCGGAAACATGGACACCCAAAACCTGCGGTTTGCCCCCCCCCCCCCCGTTCAATTTTGAGCCACACCCAGATGAATTCCAAGTTGTCAGTTCTATGCTCTAAGTTCTTCACCTTTCCTGGCTGTGGATGGTTGGAAAATCCCTTTCTTGCACCTTTCAGACACCCAACGGCATGATAAGATGATACCCACAAACGTTATGGTTTCAATTCTGGCTTCCGAGAAATGGACTTCGCAGCCATCCACAGTAGGTCTAAATGGAAAAGTCATCTGGTTCCAAAAGGTGATGAGGCATGTCTCCGCCTCCTCCTTGAATTGGCACGCCGTCGGGCTGGGGTTGGACAGTCGCCGCAGACTTTCGAAGGCACCGCCCAAGATGAACTGCGGGGGCCAGTGTGCCAGGATCCTGGAATTCCCAAAAAAGAAAACGGACACCCACAGAAAAATTCACACCTGGAGTCTCCATGGCCCTCAACAAATCGGGGGTCATTGTCCAAAAGCCATTTTTGGGTCATGGAGACTGCAAGTAGTTTCAGAGAATCTTCTCTGTGGGAGTTGAACAAAGAAGCCAGCCCCTTTTAGGACCCCGGTGCTGCCTTATGCCTCCTTTTAAACATGCAGGCCAGGAACCAAAACCCAGACTGATGGTCTGAGTCAACTGGAAGCAGTTTGAACTCTGGGGCCGTTGCTGAAATGGGTGGGTCAAAACAAAACCACCAGGATATGGACCGCAGGTTTTAGTCTTTGGTTCTATTTACCAGGGTTCCACTTTCGGTATGCTTTTGACCCACAGCCAAATGATGCAGAAACCACCCGACAAAAGGTGTAAGATTTGCCAGCTCGGGCAAGTATCTGGGCGATGAAGTCCGCCTGCTCTTGGTTGTCCTGAAGTCAACACAACCGAAAACACAAAACTTCCATTTGCCTAAGCCCGCTTAAAAAAGAAGAAGGAAAAAAACACTTCCAGCAGTGATAAGTTTTCTTTAAAGCCAGCTGGAAAAAAAACAACACACACTTAAGCAAATGGAACAAAAGGGGAAAGGCCAAATGCAACTTGCGCTTTGGGGTAGGGAGTGCCTGAACCCTCAAACTACCCAGAGAAAGAAGCAATAACCCACCATATGTTGCGAGCAATAAGCCAACTTTAAGTCGGAATTTTGAGGGTCCAGGGGTATTAATCCACCCCAGGTTATTAGCAGAGGAGGTAATCCCCTCCAAAAGTGCTCAGATTCCGCAATTACTTTTGCTTTACTATTACTATTCTAGGGGTACCTTCCATTTTCATTCTTTCCACAAATCCTTCTTTCTAGAAAAACTCCAGGGAAACCCAGGGAAAACGGCAGGTGTTCGAAAAGAACGATGGATGAAAATAATGGACAAGGAATCAACCCCTAGAACTAGATGGGGTCAACCTTCCCCCTTTTCGAGCTATGCCAAGGGACTTCAAAAACAGTTTACTCTTACTATAAATATGGGGTTAACTTCCCCCTTTTCGAGCTATACCACGGGACTTTCATAAACAAAAGATAAAACAAACACTATAATAAAGAAAAAGAAAGTAATTGAGTGAAAAAGAAAAAAACAAAAACAAAAAAAACAAAAAAACGGCCGAGGCCCCGGCCGCGCCATGGCAGATGATGTCGAAGACGTAGTTTTTCACCTCCGTCTTGAAGCGCCCCCGCAGCGACTCCTTGATCTCGGAGAGGCCTCGCTCGGGGGCCGAGAAAAAAAACACGCGAGCCTGGGTCGCCAGTAGGGAGATGTTAGAATCAGTACCAACTTTGTTCAGGACGTCTATTTTCGTAGGGGAACCCTCCCCCAAAAAAAAGGGTGAGAAAGGGCACTAGGGGGACCTAATTAGGGGAGTCTCCTTCTGACCCTGAAAATTTGGTTGGTCATTCAACCAACCAGCAGGTTCAAGCAACCAGAAGGTTCAAGCCACAAGCAACCAGAAGGTTCAACCAAACAGAAGGTTCAACAAAGCATCCATTTGCGAATACGCCCCCGAAAAACATAAAAAAGCAAACATGTCCAGTATAAACCAACAGGGGAAAATCAACATCTCTTCTTAAGCAGCTGGAAGTAAATAAAGGGGTTTTGACCGGTCATGGAGACTCCAGGCACTTAGAGGTTCAAAAGGCTGATCTTTTTGGTTGTAGACAATCCCCTGTCAGAACCCTGGTCATGCCCTAACATTGAAGTAGAAGGATCGATACATCCGAAAGCTGCCTGATTTGCAAGGGATCCCCTAAGGCAGCTGGTAAAGGCGATGTTTCAACTGGCCCATCATTTAAGGGGTCCTGTCCAAGGGCGAAACTTCGGCTTTCACAAACGTGGCTTTAAAAAGTGGGTGTCTCTTCTAAGGTGACCCTAGAAGCAGGTGGTTTCCCTTTGGTTTCCCTTTGAAACCTTAAAAAAGGGGGTGCCTGGAGTCTCAGGCGCCTTGTAAGAATGGCTGGTCCTGACCCTTTTGTTTGGAGTAATGACCAACCATTCAAGGGTCGTGGAGACTCCAGGCGCCAACCGAAAGACAAGCCCGGTCTAGTCTCCCCTGACTTAAGCGCCAGGAACCGCCCGGCTTCCCGAAGCTTCGCAGGTAGCACGCAGAATGTTGTGGTTCTTGTTGTTCATTTTTTGTTTTTAAGGATCCAATGTTTGTTGTTTTCTTGTTTGTCTTGTTTTTTTTTTTGTTTTTTTAGGATCCATTTGTTGTTTTGTTTGTTGTTTTCTTGTTGTTTTTTTGTTGGTGTGTTTTTTTGAAAATTTGTTTGTGTTGTTCTTGTTTTTCTTGATTTGTATTTTTATTTTTAAGGATCCATGTTTGGTGTGTTTCGTGTTTTCTTGTTTTATTGTTTTTTGTTGGATCCATTATTTGTGCGTGTCTTGTGTTTCTTGTTTTTTTTTAGGATCCATTTTTTTGTGTTTTTCTTGTTTTCCTGTTTTTAAGGATCCAATTTTTGATTTGTTCTTGTGTTTTCTTGTTCTTTTTTTTAGGAGCCATTTTTTTGTTTTTTTCTTGTTGTTTCTTTTTTTTAAGGATCCATGTTTTGTGTGTTCTTGTTTTTCTTGCTTCTTTTTAGGATCCAATTTTTGTGGTGTTCTTGTTCTTGTTTTTTTGGATCCATTTTTTGTGTGTTTCTTATTTGTTGTGATTGTCTTGTTTTCCTTGTTTTTTTATCATCCAATGTTTGTGTTTTTCTTGCTTTTTCTTGTTCTTTTTCTTGTTTATCCAAGTCCCTGCCCAAACATAACCTCCAAAAGCCTGGGTCCTTACTTGGATGCCTGAGAAGACCTGCCTGGACCCTCAATCCTGCCTGGACCCTTAGAGGTCGATTGTCATGGAAGCCCTTACTTAGTTTACTTGGATGTTCGTTGCATTAAGGGGAAGGGGCCGCCTGGGCTTTTTCAGCCAATAATGACAAGGTTGACTCCACTGAACGGGGGACTTTACAAGTGGTTATATCCCAGGTTGTGAACAACTTACTAACTTGGCCAAGTAGCTGAGGTGCTTTCAGCAAGAGGGTTGGCCAAAGGGGACCCCTTCAGAAGGAAACCCTAAACCCTTTTTGGATGGCTTAATTAACAGAAACACAGAAGGACACCAAGCACCCATGTGGACCCCATATTAATCAACCCCAGTTTATTCACAGGGGGTGGTTTCTTGGCCCCTCCAAAATTGGTCTGATTCCCCACATTTCACCCAGGTTGACACCGCCTTGCACACGATTTTTATGTCAGGCCAATATTCTGAGCTCGGTTTTCCACGAGAAACAGCGCTAACATCAAACTAAAACAACGGGTCTACCTACCGGGGCCTGGTCTTCGGGGCGGTTCCCAGATCTGAAAAAGGTCAAGAACTTTTTGTGGGTCAAGCAGAAACCACCACTAGAGAAGCAGAAAATGACACCTGACATTAGGGTTAGGTCTCTAAATACTTGTTTGAGGTGTTTTAGACTCCCAACTAAAAACAGCTCAAAACCTTTCTGGAACCTTTGATGCCTGTGAACCAAGTGTTCGGACTCCACTTTCGGCTACGCGGATTCGGAGTCCTGCCTTTGTGCGCAAGCTTCCCGTTGCTCTTGGCGAAAGTGTCCCTGGGCCAGAGGAACATAGCGGTTTCACAAAAGATGTCTGAGGCCCCAGGAACAAACAAATACTTCCAGTGAAATCGACTCCCTTTGAAACCAAAAGGAATACTAAACATATTCATTTCAGCAAATGGAAGGTTTGCCAACTGAAAGCAGGGTCTTAAGGCATTGATCTTGGAGAAATCCAACTCGATCTCATGGATCCTTCAATCCCCATGTCCAAACATGCGACCGGCCGAATTTGATTCGGGTCAAAAAGGGGAAAACGAGAATCTTTGGGGATGCCACCAGCAAGACCCTTGACAAACATAGGAATGATGGGCCCTTTCTCTTTCGTTGATCCTCTAAAAGTCCAAATTGTGGGATATGTCATCAATGCCTCACAAACTAGGTCCTCCAGTAGAGAGGTACCCTTTCTTCTGCAGTATTTTAGTAGGGGCACCCTCTCCCAAAAAAGGGTAAAAGGGCGCTGCTGGAGGACCTAGCAAAAGTCAGTCTAAAAGATGCTGGGAAGAAAACCAGGTATTGGCTTGGTGTTTCCCTTGGGAAACCTTGGAGGAAACCATCGCCATTTGGCTGTGGCTCAAAAAATGGTACCCAAAACGGGCTTGCTGTTGATCCCCCTACAAAAAGTGTAACCTTTTGTGGGATTAGGGGAAACCCCTTAATTTCCGAAAAAGTTAAAGTCTAAAGATCCAACCCAATAGCAGTCAAGAAAATTGCAGCTTGGTAAACGGAAACAACGACGAACACCTGCGTAACCCTAGGTTTTGCATTTTGAGCCGCCCATCTGGGGCAACGATTCGTATTTCGACCTGGACCTGAACAGAGTTGCAGAGGTGTTCCTGGACCCTCAATCTGCCCGTCAACAAGTTGCAATTCACCCCAAATTTGGGGCACTAATCCGTCATTGTAAGGGAACCGTGAGGGTTCAGGTTGCTTGCCCTTGATCTGAGCTGACTGGGAAACTCCAGCAACTTTGAAGATGCCTTCCCTCTAATATCCGCTTGCCTCACTTCCGATCGAGTGGATTGGCCACAAAAAGTCTGAAATGTTTGTGTGCCAGTAAAAAGGTCCAGACCCAACAAGTATAACTAGGTCCTCCAGTAGAGAGGATAGAATAAGGGTGCCAACTTTTTTCTGCAGTCGATTTTAGTAGGGGAACCATTCCAACCAAACAAGTTGGTAAAAGGGCACCTAATCGGGGGACCTAGATAAAGTCCGGTGAGGTTTGCAAACTCAGAGCTCAACAGTTTAACTCCTCTCAAGTTCGATGCACAGGGCGCCGAGAAGAACTCGAGGGGCTACAAACTTGGTGTTCAACGTCAGGGAAGTGGGGTAATGAGTATAAGCCAACTACTTGGTTGCTGGCGAGACCTCCCTGCAAAAAGTGTTTAACTTCTCTTTTTTTTTTGCGGGGGGGGGGGTAGTGGAAAACTGAACTTGATTTCCCAAAAAGTTAAAGTCTAAAGATCCAACCCAATAGCAGTCAAGACTAACCCAGTTGCCAACCAGAAACCCTGGTTGTAACCTACTTAGCTCACGTTGGTTGAACACCCCAGAAGGACTGTCTCCTCTTCTTCTTTTTTGCTTCCGCTGGGTCTCCGCTGGAGGTGGCAACATCCCGCTTTTATGGGCTGCCCTCAGATCCCCTGCTAAAAGTTGAACGTTAAGTGGGCTAAAGGGAAACCCAACCACTAAACACTAAAAGGATCCAAAAAGCTCAGGACCCGGATGGCTGGCTTCGCCCCCAAAGGCTGTTGCTGGGTTTAAGCTTCGGGTCTCCCACCAGAAGCCTCCGAAACCCGGAGCGCCTGCTAGGCAGCAAGAGCCACACCACGCGGGTGGTGCCGTTGAGCAGCTCGTCGCTGCCCAGGGACGCGCGCATGCCCCGGAGCTTGAACTCGGAGCGCCGGCGCTTTCGGTTGATCTGTCCGAAAAATGGCGCCTGGAAGTCCAAAGACCCCAAAGCCCCTATGGTAATAAGACAAAAGAATAGGCTCAGGCGATATCCCCAACAGCATGCGGTGCTCTTTTTGGTGCTCGCACCACCCCGCAGCCCTCTCAGAACCTCATGGAACCCTCGTGGAACCCTGGTGGAACCCTCGTGGAACCTTACCTCAGGGCCGCCTCGGACCACCCCGGAGCCTATCTGGGCTGAGACCCCAAAGCTTTCAGCTGTTGGGGAAAGCAACAATAGACCCGCTGAGGACGAAATGCACGTCGCAAAACCTCCAAATGTTGGACTCGGAGCCCCGATTTTTTGGGTTCCTTCTGTTAAGTTTAGGGGAGTAATTAGACCACTATAGCTTTTGGTGAGTAAAAGGAGACCTGTCCGCATCATGGAAGCCATGGGCAGGCAGCTTGAACCACCTGCAATCGTCCGCAAACGTGAGCCTGGACCCGGAAAAACAAAAACAAAAACAAAAAACGACTCAAAATGGAGTCTCCATGACCCTGGAAAAATGAGTCCATGACCCCTTTATTTGGGTAATAATGACCCCATTTAAAAAGAGTCATGGAGACTCTAGGTGCCCCAAAATGATGGAAATGGGCGAATTCTCCAACCTTGTTGGGTGGCTTGAGGCTTGAATCGGAACATCCGAGGTTCTCCCAACCACTCCACGCCTGGCTTGCCTCATCCCACCACCGCCCCCCCCCCTTCCCCCAGCCCACATGACAAGGTCGCTTTGAGGATCTACCCAGCCGCTCGGACCCAGGACTCTGAAAAGTCGGTCTCTTTGCTTTGGGGTAAAGGGGGAAAAGTGGTGGTTCGTGCCTCTTTGCGACGAACTGGAGTCTCCATGACTTCCTTTGAACATGGTTGGTCATTACTCATTGTTTTTCGGGTCATGGACCCATGGTTGAAGGGTCATGGAGACTCCAGGCATTAGTGATGCCTCTTAAATTATCACTAGTGGCGATTTTTTGAAGTGGCTATTGGTAGCTAGGAGCCATGAATTACCGTCAAGGGCCTGAGACTCGACTCTCAAGAAACAAGGACAAACCTTCTAAAGGGATACCTGGAGTCCATGACCCCTTTAAAAATGGGGTCCATGACCCCTTTATTTTGGGAAATGACCCCATTTTGAAAGGGTCATGGAGACTCTAGTTGTTTTTTGTGTTTAATCTCTTTCTCCACCAAAACACCAACCTCAATGCCTGGTCAACGTTCAACACCAATTGGCAATTATATATCTTTTGCGTCTGTGTGTTCGTTTGAGTCAATGGCAATGTACCAAACGTTGACCCTGGATCTGGATGCCTTACTTGTCCAGGACCCTCGCCATCAAAGATCACCTATTGAGAACCTCAAAATGTGGACCTAAATATGGCCCAAGAGGAAACCAAAAGGCGGGTCGGCTTTGGCTTGGCTGACGTTGGGTTTGGGGAGACTTTTTTTCTCAAACTGTAGCACTTAAGTGGGGATTTCAACCACTAAACCACAACAAGCAAAAATGTAAAATGTTTCCCAACGACAACCATGTTGAGCACGCTCTGCTCCTCAATGCGTGGTCCTGTCTTCCACTCCTCTGGAGAGAACCCAGCCATTTTCAACCAGGGCTGAAACGCACAGAACCCTGACGATCCCATGGGCGGGTTTAGCCAAAAGGTTAGGTCGATTCGCTTTGGGCAAATGAGCTGCATCTGGGCTGTCCGTTTTCCGATCCCCTGCTAACAGTCGACAACTTGTGGGTTAAATACGGAAGCCCAACCGCCTGGCCATGGGTCAAGATCCCATACCCCCCAGTGAACATCCGATTCAATCCCCACTAAAATCGGTTCGAAAATGGGTGGTGAATTCACCTATATACCCCAAATGGGATCCCAAAACGGTTTTGACAACCACAGCCAGCCTTCACCAACTAAAATGCCAGTCTAGGGGGTGCTTCCTTGTCCGTTCTTTCCAAGCAACCTCATTTTATCCGCCCATTTTATAGCGACCTCATCTTGGGTATAACGAGCTCACCATGATTCTAGGGCTTGATTTCCCGTTCTTTCCAAGCAACCTTCTTTTCAAAAAGTAGCTGTTTTCCCTCGGTTTCCAGTGGTTTTCTAGAAAGATCCGGATCCCTGGAAAGAATGGAAATGGAAGCTACTAGAATCATTGACCCCCGGCTCGACGAGATCAAGAGACCTCGATCTTCTCCGCGGCGATGTCGTCGGAGGCATACATCGCACGCACCATCTCCGGGAAGCTGGCGCCGAAGTGGTAGTCCGCCACCTGGCCGCTAAAAACCGAATGTTGACCCCGGATTAATAAACCCCTGTTTATTCATACCTATAGAGTCTCCATGACCTTTTAAAAATGGGGGCATTACCCAAAATAAAGGGGTCGTGGCAGACTTTGGGAGAGTCCCTGGGTTTAGTGGGGATTTAGACCACTTTTGGAGGGACCAAAACCCCCCGCTATGAATAAACCGGGGTTGAATTCTCTGGGGTCAACATTACCTGGACCCTAAAACTACCCTTGAACATGGGAATGACTGCAACCCCAAATTATGGGTTGCAATAATTAGCCCATTCTGAAAGGCAGTTTGAGGCTCCAGCTAGTTTCCAGTTTTGAAAACGGGGTCATTGCTCAAAAAGGGGTCATGACTCATGACCCCATGCTCCAGGGGCCTGCGGGTGAATTCACCCACTTTGCTTCTTGCAGCTTGAGGCTTCAGGCACCCTTGGCCAGGTTCTAGTGCTACCATTTCCGTTCTTTCCAGGGATCCGGATCTTTCTAACGAAGGATCCCGAAACCCGGGGAAAACGGATCCGGTTTTTAAAGAACGATGGTGGAAAAGAATGGTTGGAAACAACCCCTAGAGAGGTGGATTCTTGACAACCCCCCCCCCAAAAGGAGCAGGGGCCAACGAAACTACTTGCTGGTGCGATAGGCAGGGAATGCGGTTGAATGATCCCAGGCTTGCTTGGCTGCTGGTGACCCCCCTGCAAAAAGTTTAACCTTTTTGGGGTATGGTGGAAAACACTGTTATGTCCCAAATGGCTGTGGCTCAAAGAAGTGGTACCAAAATGGCTCCTTGGTAAATGGAACCAAAGACTAACAGCGCGTAACCCCAGCTCTTGAATTTTGAGCCATACCCAAATTGGATGGTTTTTCTCGGGGTCATTCCAATTCTCATTTCCTGCCTCTCGCACCAGCAAGACTACCAGGAGACCGAATCCTAACCCCGGGGAGGACCCCGAAACGCCAGGTCCCGTGTGGGTGGCGCGTTTTTTTTTTGTTGTGGGAGCGCGGTGAAAGGAAAATCAACAGGACCAGCGCGCAAACAACAGACACACCTTTACTGTGGATGGACCAAATCCATTTCGCACCACTTTGAAACCATGCGAAACCATTGTTTATTGGTATTTACAGGGGAATCATCGTTCCATGGCTTACTAGGTGGTGCAGGATTTCGTCCATCCACAGTATGTTGATGGAAGGCATTTGTTTGCCCGTGGCTCACCTCAACAGGTTAGGGGCCAGTCCCAACCTCGAAACCGTGGAGTTTTGCTTGGAACCCATCGTCCAGAACCTCAGAACATAGAGCGGACCTCAGGACATAGAGTGTCTTTGTGGGAAAATAGATTGGCCTGGTAGATAAATCTCTTTTCAGAGACCCTTGTGTCCTGGACCCTCAAAATGCCAACTTGAAGGATGATTGCCTGCCCCAAAATTGCGGAAGTTGTGAATTCCCACTTTGTGGGTAGTTCTTTCGGGTCCCCTCCATTTGCCTGGACAAAACCACAAAGTACAAGTGATAGATTCCTTTAAAGTCAGGGGAAAACAACACATATTTGCTTCAGCAAATGATAGCAAATGGAAGGTCCGAGGCGGGTCGTCTTTCTTCTTTCGCCCCTCGTCGCTTTTTGCTTCGAAGCGGTCGCTCGACCGGTCTCACTCCCGATGGAAACGCCTCGTCCACCGCTCCCATCTTGTATCTCTTCATGGTCTCGCGCATTGCGGACACAGCCTTCAGGGAGGTCTGGGAAACATGAGCGAGCCTCTGCACGCATCATCTAAATGTTCCACGTGGGTCTTTCAAAAGTTTGGAGTCGCCAACCCGCTTTTGGCAAAAGAAGACACCAGATGAAACCTGAAAAACAAAACCGGTTTTTCCTCTCGAGGTTGCTGCCTAAAAGTGCCAACCTTTGGTGACGCAAAACTTACCCACAGCCCCTGAGGGTTGCCGTCACCCCCCAATCCACCCCTGTCCTAGGTTTGGGCTTGGAGCTTTAGGGCTTAGGTTCAGGGTTTAGGTTTAGGGTCCAGGTTTAGGGTTCAGATTTAGCTTTAGGGTTTAGGTTCAGGGTTTAGGTTCAGGGTTTAGGTTCAGGGTTCAGGTTTCGGGTCTAGGCTTAGGGTCTAGGTGAATTTTGCGTCCTCCCCGCAGCCTAGCTGCTAGCGCATGCTTAGCTCTCAAGGCTAGCTTTGCTTTCGATGAGCCAAGCTGCTCTGGGCTGTACGAGCCTAAGCCTGACTAGGTCCTCCAGTAGAGAGGTTCTGTGGTCTATTTTACTAGGGTCCCGAACCCTCCCAACCAAAAAAGGGGTGAGAGGTCGGGCACCACTGGGGGACCCAAGCCTTGGCAAATTCAGAGCACGTGGGCGCAGGAATTCGGCTCGGGTCTTCAGGTTCGGGCGTTGGGCATTGCTTTGGGGCGGCAACCCTCGAGGCCTGGCCTTAAACTTTGTCCATGCAAAACAAAGGTCGGATTCGGTGGCATAAAAAAGGTCCCAGAAAACCCGAAAACTTTTAACCTGGCTGTAAAGCCTGTTGCTTCGAAGACGTGCTACCATAAGCTCCTTCTAAGACTTAGAAATCAGGCAGTAAGAGTTCTGACTCAAATCGCCTCTCGGACCGGCTGCGGAACGCTCCTTGGAATGACCCCGAAGTGAACCATTGCCTCGTTGTGATGCCCCGAGGACCGGCAATTGAGACATCGCCCAAAATGAAGGGGTGACGGACCCATGTTTACAGGGTCATGGAGACTCCAGGCAGGCACCCGCTGAGTTAGAGGATCTTTGTATTTTGCTGTAGCCCCTTTGTGCCTTTGGAGGAAGGTAGGGTCTTCAACTTGGGAAACCCCAAACAAAACCGATGGTGTGCTTGGAATTTATCTTGAAGCAGAGTGAGGCAGGCTAATTAATTACCCTCCAAACAAGACGCACTCATGTAAACCTACTTTCTGGGTAGCTCAATTCCCCAGTGCAAAAACAATAGCGTGCTGTTGGTGGGGAAGCAAATATGTTACGAATTTGACAAGTGAAAGATCCAAACAAACGAGGTCGTCTTAACCCCAAAAGTGGAATTTCGGTCTTCCTCCTTGTGTGCCCCGGAGAACCCACCAAAAGGGGGTTCCAAATGGTGTCTTTCTTTGGAGGGTCCCGAACCCGCTTCTTGGGGGGCGGCTGAAAGGGAGGCCAAAAGGTAAACCATCAATTTTGGTTCTCCCCAAACAAGGACACGGCCATATGTGCCTTTGCGGTAAAAGGACCGGTTCCTTTACTTGAAGATAACAGGAATTCTCATCCTGGCCAAGCAAGGATCCTTTGTCTGCCATTTGCTTGTTCGCCCCCCAGAAAAGAATGAGAACATAATTCCAGTAGGTCCAGTAGTGAAATCGATTCCCTTGAAAAACCCAACAAGGGGGGGAAAAAAAAACACGGAACGAAACAAAGAAATCAGCGAATGGGAGAGGCATTCCAAGCGCACCCGCCCTGAGCCGCCGAGCAGCGGTCTCGAACTGGGGCTCCAAGGTGGGCCACAGCACCAGAGGTATCCGGATGACTTGCCCACAGTCCTGAGAGGAAACTTTTTCGACCCCTTTGGTTGGGATTTGGACCCCTTTTTGTTGGAATTTGGACCCTTTTTGTTCCCCCCAAAAAATGGTTTGCCCTGGTTTCTGTTTAAGGAAATGTTTGGACCCCTTTTGTTGAGATTTGGACCCCTTTTTGTTGGGATTTGGACCCGTGCCGCCCAAAAAATGGCTTGCTCGATCTTGTTTTTGGGCATGGTTTTGATTTGTCTTTCGGCACGCGGGCGGTTGAAGTCATTTCGGTCTGTCCGGATTGGAAGGGTGAAAGCTTGTGCCCACACCCCCTTCTCCAAGTACCCACTTTTTCTAGGGTATTTTTTTGGAAAACCTGGGTTTTTCAGGGTAAATACCGCCTTTTTCCGTAGAGAGTCGACATGATGCCCTAAACCAAGTGGGTATGTGGAGGGGGCACCACTTACTACCCTTTGAAAGGCGGTCCTGAACGGGGGATCGCGCAAGCGCAAGCTGTTTATTGCTTTTTTGCGCACACCTCTCGGCACATCTGTATTTTTTCTTCTTTTGGTCTCTTTTGTTTTTCCGCCAGAAACTGCCTGAAATCCAAACCGGGCCCCAATTACGGCGTTCCAGGGACCTACATGGGTGCGGCTCAAAATTAAACAGGAGGGGTTACGCAGGTCTTGGCCTTAGTTCCAGGGTTCCATTTTGGTACCGGTTTTTTGAGCCACAGCCACATGAACACACCCATAGGATTCAGATCCCTATTTTGACACACACGTCCTTCTCCTCGCCCCATGTGAAGAGAAAGGCCCATCAGGGAACCAGCTGTCCCTTTCTCGGCCTTTTCCCGTTGAACATTTACCCATGGAACCAATTTAGGGGACCTCTTGTTCTGGGGATAGACCCCACAATGGCATGCTCGTTGGCCCCAACCTCCCGAAGAAACCCATCCACCCCCCTCGAACTGTCAAGCTAGGCCTTATCTGTTACCCTCCCACCAATTAACATGGAACGTGACAGGGGTGTCCTGGTTTGGACCATTTTCATTTTACGGAGACCGGCCCCGAACGTCAGGTTCCATGTTCATCGGTGGGAGGGTAGCAAAGGCCTTAGTTGGCGTCCAGCCTTAGACGGCTTAAGCGCCCAGACCGTTGCACAGAGCCGGGAAAAGGAAACAGAAGGACCTGATACCAATCTACTCTTGTGTTTTGGCCTATGATATTTGAAGATGTGCTACTGATACACCGCTGGTTTCATCATCAGCATCGTCATCAGCATCAGCATCAGCATCAGCATCAGCATCAGCATCAGCATCAGCATCAGCATCATCATCATCATCATCATCATCATCATCATCATCATCATCATCATCATCATCATCATCATCATCATCAGCAGCAGCAGCAGCAGCAGCATCAGCGTCAGCATCAGCATCATCATCGTCATCATCATCATCGTCTTCGTCGTCGTCATCATCATCATCATCATCATCATCATCATCATGAGCGTCATCAGCATGGGCTGCTCTTTGGGGGGTGGGACAACATTGTGGCCAAAACATGTTTGTGTCTGTCCATATCCTAAACTGGGTAAATTACCACAATTCTTCGTATTTCACCAGCCACATTTTCAGGACCCCTTCATCACGGGAAAGGCGAAGCTCTACCTCCTCTCATGTTGATTCTTCCAGTATGGGCTTAAGAAATTGCGAGAACCGACTTGAAGCCCATGCTCAAGCAGGGTTAGCTATGTGTCAAGAAAAGATGAAGAAATGCTGACTGCATGCCATCGCTGGTTTTTTCGAGGCGGGGGGTGGGGAAAAGTTGCCACACACGTGGCCACAACGCGGCTTCTTGGCCTTGCCGAGCGAGCGGCCGACGCCGCGCCGCTCTCGTGGCTTTCGCTTTCATCCCAGGTCTGCAGGAACTGCCGCAGGCTCGTGGAGGAGCCCTGCATGAAGCCTCGGAAAATTCGTAGCTCGGACCTTCGGGGCGGGACTGAGGGGCCACTCTGGCTCATATTTGTGGCCTTTGGGAAAAATAGATGGGGTTCCCTGGTAAATGGGGCATAAACCCCAACTAAACCAGGGCCCTCTATTTTTAAGCAAACCAACCAAAAAGGACACCTATGCTCTGGTTCTATCCCCCGAAGTTCGATCAAAATCCCAAGTCAACTGGCCAGCGACTGGATCCAAAGCCGCTCTGCTCCATCAACAATCTTCTCAAGGCGATTCGCCAGAAACACAAAGCGAACTGACCAAGATGATGACATGATGACACCTAAGAAAAAACAGCCGTCAAGTGCGCTAACTCCAAACTCTCTGCCTAATTTGTGGCCTCCCCCCAAAAACAAGTGTCAGTGTTTGGGAATGCGTTTTTTTATTATTCTTCTTTTGGTGGCGGATGCAAAGCCATGAGAGACAAAAAGGCTTTGACTACCTCCAAATGTAGGCGGGAGTTACGAGTATAAAAGTTTAAAACAAATATCACATTAACACATATTAAATCATATTTACAAACAATGTGTCCATCTATATGTAGATATAATATATATATATATGGAGATATTCCTATGTTGACATGTGTGTAGCCACGGTCGGGGTTCGTGTCCCCTGTGGAGCTGTTGGGTTGCGGTAGAGGTCCCGTCTCTCGGGACCGGGGCCCAAAACGTTCGATCGGCTCGCCTTGATACATCCGCCGCAAAGTGTCCATCTCCCAGTGCTGGAAAAAGGGACTCCCGTCGAAGTACTCGGATTCGATGACAATCCCTCCTTCCTCAAGATATCGATCGCCGAGGCAAGCGAATGCCGAGCGCGACGACTCGAAATTCTTTTTGGTTGGAGGGTCAAAATGGATTGATTTGGAACGCCCCTTGAGGGGTCGGGGGAACCCCTTTCTTCATTGGCACAGCTCATTTCTTTTGGTGGCGACTTCAAACCTTCGCAAAGTGACCGGTCCTACCCCACCCAACATGAAACTGCACAACTGCCTTTTGAGGACCCCATGTTTGGTCGTCGACTTTTTAGCTTTGGGTCCCTTTCTCCAAAAGAAAAGGGGAGAAGCCCCACTGAAAGTCGTCGAGTCTGGGCTGCTGCTCTTCTGTGACATGCCTCCGGCGCATCCGAAATTCCGTGGACAGACTGCACCTGTTGTGGCGCATATCCCTCCCCGTAAATGGGGTTCACGTGATATCTATAGCACTAACTAAGTGGGGCGGTCATTCAAAATTTGAGCACCTGCAAGTTGCACCCTGCATCCCCCCCTTCCCCCCGAAACAAAAGTTGCCCTGTGGTTCCCCTTCAAACCAAGCCCAACAAGTGGCCTTTGACTTCGGAGACCTAGGGAACCGCCGTTGAAACAATGAAAGTTGCGAAGGGCTACCTTCTTTTCATGGCCAAGTTGTATCTGTTCAGCCCTCAACGGCGCCCAAAGCCAACTAACTACTTGGTTGCTGCAACGACCCTTCTGCAATTCGGTAAATCCGACCTGTTTCAGGCAAGAAGCTAAAGTCCTAAGATACAACCAAATAGCCGTAAAGTTCAATATCCAGCCCCAAAATAGTTTAAACCTCTCACTTTCGATCGAGTGGATGGGCCAGGGACTGTCCAAACGTGTTTCCCCCAAACTGGTCTTCCCCAAAAAAACCTGCCAGGCAGGGAGCGAGACCCCGCACAGACCCTCAAAACTGGTAACCGGGTAGCGGAAGGCACGAGTCTATCCTTTTAAATTTAGTCCTCCCCTTGTTTTCTGATTCAGAGTTACTTTCCTTGACTGTTTAGGGAGTTTATTTTTTTACAAACCCTTCACTGTTTACTTGACGAAAAGGGATCGCGTCCTGCAATCTACTTTCGCCTTGGACCTGTAGGCTAAATTCCCAAGGGGGACTGAAAATTTGGAATACTAAATCCATTTCTTCAAATTTTGCCCTGCAAACTTCCTCCCTTCGTCCGGGCCAACCATGGGTGCAGAATTTCCCCCGCTTGGTGGTTTTCACCGTCGCCGTGATCACGGCGCAAGAAGGGAAGTTCTCAAACTCACGGACCCGTCAGTTTGCTCAGTGGTTCAGTGACCCTGGGAAAAAAAGGGAACCAATTCTTTTTTGGGGCTTGGACCATTTTTAGTGGGGCCAGAAAAAACAAGTTGGAAAAAGAATTGGGGCCACTGAACAACTGAGTTTGGGAGGTCTTGAAAGGAAAGCAAGTAAACAACCCGAAACTCAGAGTCTCAGCCCGCTATCTTGAGCAACACCCATGAGGGAGCCCGGTTTGAGCAATGTTCACATGTCCCTATGACTAACACCTCCCCCAAATTCCTTCAAAGGCTTCCCCTCTTTCACATTTACTTGGATGTTGAACCTTCCTAGCTTCCATTTGCGAATACGCCCCCCTGGAGAAAAACATCCTGTAGTGAAATCGATTCTCGTTAAAACCAACAGGGGAGAATGAAAAACATTCTTAAGCAAATGGAAGCTAGGCTATAAACATAACCCCAGCTACCCCAGTTCTAGCCACAAACAGCTTGACAATGGCGCAAAGCAACGGACAATACTCACCATACAGTTGGGTGTGTCTCAATATAGCTCCCCCCGAAACAAAAATGATAGCTTTTCATTTAGTTTCCCTTACAAACAAATACAAACCGGAAAAGGGGGGGTACCCTGTTTTAGGACAAAGCTCATGCAAGGGACAATACTCACCCTGCATTTGCCGGAGCCCTATTGAGGGAGCCTGAAAATCGGGGACCCCAAAACATGTTTTTGTCCCTTCGGTTTCCCGTGAAAGACCACAACAAAGGTTCCAACTCCAAACAGGAAACAAACCCATTTTGAGCAAATTCCATGGTTTAGGGTTGAATTACTTGCAATGTTAAGGACATCCACCGCAACGGGACAATACTCACCCTACATTTGCTGGAGTCCTAAGCTACTTTGAATGGTTGCGAAATCCATTTCGCTCCTGTAAAAAAAAAAAGAAAGAAAAGCTGGCATGATGTGATTCCCCAACGTAAAGACCAACACACGTTATGGTTTCAACCATGGTTTCAGTTCGTGGTGCAAAATGGATTTCCCAACCATCCACTGTATGGATACAAAGAAAGACGAGTATACCTGAACCTTCAAACTACCCCTGAAAAGCAGGGAATTCACCCGGGGCGGCTGCCCATTTTCACGTTGGAATTTTAAGGGTCCAGGCGGCAACTCGGGACCCCTGCCACATTGTGGGACACCAAGATGCATTTCTTTCGGGTCCAGGTAGCTCTAGAATTGCCTGCGATTCGCTGGGTGGCTGCAGCACTAATAAGCTTGAACCCATATTAGTAATCAACCCCACCCCCTCCCCCTCCCCCTAACCCCCCAACCCGCCCCGAACCACCGCCATCTACCCGAAGCGCGGGGGCCCATTGGATGTAGACCTTCCGCCCCAAGTACAGCGCTGCGGCCATGCGATGGGCGCCGTCCACCAGGCCACGGTTCGCCACCAGCAGCGGGCTCCAGCTCGCGAAGCGCCCTGGGAATTCTAGGGGTACCTTCCCTTTCCTCAGACAACCATGACCCAATCGGAAGAACCACAGTTTGACCATGGCGCGCATGAACATGATGAATCCTGGACCCTCCAAATTCCCTCAAGAATTGGTTATTCTTTCCAGAGATCCGTTTTTCTTTTCAGGAAACCATCAAAACCTGGCGGGAAACAGCCGGTTTTTGAAAAGAATGATTGTTGAACAGAATGGGGAATCAACCCCTAGAGGAATGACAACGAGTCCCGGTTTTTGGGAATGAGCCGGTTTGGGACGCCAGAAGAAAGGAAACCCCCAGCGAGGGATGGTTCTCATTCCCTGCATCTCTCGGACCAAGTGTTCGCTTCTCGCTTCCCCCGGATCGATGGCCAGGGAATTGAAAAGAGAACGACCCCGAACAACGAACCATCCCCGAGAATGAGTTCCATTTTTCGGGAATCCTTAAGTTCATTCCCAACACCTCGGTAAGGGGGGACAAACAACGAGTGGCTCGGCCAGAAAAAGACCAAACTGTTTGCCTAAGCCACTAAAATGGTCCAGCCCCGAAAAGTGACTCAAGCCCATGAACTCAGGAAGTGAGGCTTTGTACCCAGCTCATTGGTGAGGGGACAGACGGGCGGCTCCTTTTTTCAGGGACCCCGAAAATGGATTTTGGTTCTCCCTTTGGTGTCCCTTTCAAATTCAAAAAGGAAGTCGTTCAAAGAATGCAGCCCCATGTGTTCAGATGTGTCATATTTAGACCTTGAAAGAACCCTGTAGAACAAAGCTGGTCGATCCCCTCAAAAAGGGGTCCCATTTTAGTTGGAGCCACCAAACAGAGGAAACAGGGGGAAATGGACACCTGTTCAAAGGGCAAATCTTCAACCACCTTGGGACCTTCTGAAACGTGACCTTTTCTTGGGCCATCAGTCTGGACCCTCAAACTACCCAGAAGTACCGACCCAGCTTTAACGTTGGTAGCTTGGTGGAGTCCTGGTACTCCTTTGTGTGGTGGGTTTCTATTTTGAAACCACGTGCTTAATGTGTTTATAATATCATATATATATATATATAGAAATATATATGTATATACGTGCGTATATATATATATATATATGTTGTTTAAACATTATATATATATATATGTAATATATAATATCTAGTATATACATATATGTTGTTTTACCTTCTTCTTTTTTTTGTTTTTTTTTTCTTTCTTTTTTTTTTTGGGGGGGGGGATTTTTTGATGGGAGTCCAGGTACTTTAAACAAGTTCCGGAGGAGTCCCTTAGACGGACGCACTCCGCGACAGGTGTCCATGGCGCTCACGGCTCTTTTAAACAAAAAGCCCATGGAGCCACCTCGACCCGAAAGCCGAAAAAACCGTCTCCAAGGTTGCTACTATAGTGTCTCCAGATTGGTTGCTCAGCTGACTCGTACATGCAAACGGATTGCCCGCACGCTGCTTTAGCTTGAACCCCACAAAGTTTCACTGACAGGCTGCCAGTGTTTGTTCTTTGGTCTCCAATTGTGTTTTTTGATGGTTGGCTACTATAGTGTCTTTTCCAACCTGGTAAGCAACCCACCTGTTCCCATGGGAATGTGTTGGGGTCATGATATGTTTCTCCCACTTGCGACTTAAGTGGCTTGGTTGCTGGCGAGACCCCCCTGCAAAAAGTTTTTCCACTTTTGGTGGTTTTGTGGAACACCCAACTTGATTTCCATAATTTAATAAATCTGTTATATCTCGTGAATCAACAAATAACTTCACAAATATTATATTTGGCACTACAACCAAATCAGTATCATTTGCAACATCAAATAATAACTTTAATAACAATAACCATCCCACAAGCGGAAAAACAAAACAACCGTACTTTTCCTTGCTTCACTTGAATGGAAACCTTCCAAACAAGGACATCTCCAAACAAGGCCATTGCCCAAATATGTGATATGAAGTACCCAATCCAAAAACTGGGAAGTCACTTTACTTGGGGATAACAGAAATGGGAAGAATCCACCTGGCCAGGTAAGGATTTATCGATCTTCCATTTGCTTTTTGTTTCGCCCCCAGAAAAAGAAAAAAAAGAACATATGTCCAGGAGTGAAATCGATTCCCTTGAAAAAACAAGAGAGAAAATATGGGAAATATTCATTCCAGCAAATGGAAGAAAAAGGGGAAGTCACCAACCATAATCTTGGGTTGCCATAACCCACTGTGGGTAGTTTGAGGGTCCAGGAAAAACCTTCCTTTTTGTGTAACCTCTACCTGCCTTCAAACTACCCAACAAAAACTCGAAATTCACCCATGCCAATCATTTTGGGGCAAGAATTCCCATGTTTAAGTTGGAATTTGTGCTTGGGTCAACGCAAACGGTGTCTCCTGGATGCCGAACCCGGCGGACACCCGCGAGAACTCGACCAGCGAGCGAGCGCCTGATTGCACGCTGCTCCTCAGCTCCTCCCAGAGGCCCAGGCGCAGGCGAAACTGGTCCGGCGCCCGCGTGAGGATCACACCTCGCTGCGAAAAAAGAATAGGCCCCTGGTGACAGGGACCCTTCTCTGGGCCGCTGCCCGATTTCTGATCCCCCGCTAAAAGTGTTTAACTTTTTGTGGGTTAAATGGAAACTACCACTAAACACTAAAAAAGCTAAAAGGCCAAGGGGATGGCTGGGAGCCAGCAAGTAGTATACTTTCTCCCACTATACCTCTTCCATACCCCTTAGACAATAAATACACCCCATGCAAAAAAAAAAAAAACATAACGGCCCAAAGAACGTGGTTGCAGCATAGAAACCCAACAAAAATGGGTACCTCAACCCTCAAAATACCAACTTGAAAATGGGTTCTTGCAACCCAACATGACGATTAGTCAACATCTCACTTCCCGAGAGGATGGGCCAACAAAACGTCCAAACTTGCTAATTGCCACTCAAATGGTCCAGACCCAAAAAGTAACTCAAGTCTGAGTCCCGGAACTCGGGAAGTGAGACGTGGGCATATTTTTTACCACATGGATATTGCGCCAAGTTTGATAAAATTGGTGAATTCCAACCTTTTTTGGGGGGCAGTTTGAGGCTTCAGGTGGCAAACATAGGCAACTTAACTAGGTCCTGCGGTAGAGAGGTTAGTAGTCTATAGTCTATTTTAGCAGGGGAACCCTCCCCCAAAACAAGGGGTGAGAAAGGGCACCTAGCTGGGGGACCTAGTTAAACCTGGTCCATCCGAGCATCCCCAGCGCCAGAGCTCCGACTCCCACTCCGTTTTGGGCCTCCCGGCGCTCGTACAAGCACCCGATGCCCGCCGCGGGCGTCGGATGCAACGCCACGGAGCGCAGGAAGACGTCGAAGCGCGACTGGGACCCGTCGGCCTGCGAGGAGAGGTCCGAGCGGATGGGGTGCTCACCGGGTCTCAACTCGCGAGCCTCCGAATCTGACCCTTAAATGGGCCGGGGTCATGTCATAGCCCGACTTTTGAAAGGGCATGGAGAGCTTATAGTAGGCCAAACAACTATGTTCCTGTTGGCTTTTATATCGGGTGGTTACCTGCAAAACCAGGTAAATGGATCCACTGCGAATCATGGCTATCAAGGTTTCGGTTTTCGCGTGCTGCTACGCTTGGCCATTGAAAGCATTTCTCCCCCAATTGACATGAAGCCCAAGAGCGTTCTTCAGGAGATTCAGTTCCAAAAAAAACATGGCAGTTTGGGTTCCATGTTAATCTGGAGTGGACTTTGTTTTTCCCAAACATGTCAAATCCGGGCAGTTGAGCACTCAAAAGATACAAATGTAACGCATTATATGTTTCACCCAAACCAACTAGTGTGGATGGTTGCGAAAATCATTTCGCACCACCTAAGAAACCCTGGAATGACATTCCCCTGTAAATACCAACAAACAATGGATTCAACCATGCTCTCATTTCGTGCTGCGAAGTGGATTTCGTCCATCCACAGCAGCAGACTTGGACGGCTATTTAGGTGGATAATATGTTTGAACCCCTGAAGGGCCGGTCCCTTGGTAAGGGTACTTGGGCGGTCGTTTCAGGGTGTACCTTACATCCAAAGGCACAACGAGAATCCCGGGAAGAGAGGCACCCTTTTTGGGTTGCTTGGTTTGAAGGCCCCTCCCCCAAGGAAACAACAAATGAAGCACATGTCACATGGCCCCTCCAATGCTAAGGGCGCTAGTTGGGTGTTCACCCAGCAGGCAAATAAGTTACAACCATGGTTATTACTGGTTGGTAACCGGGGTGGTCGTACCCGAGAAGAACCACAATTGTAACCTACTTACCTGACGTGGGTTTTTTGGAACATCCAAGTACAAACCAGAGACCCCAGAGACCCCAGACACCCTCCAAGCCGCAAAATTAAGACAACTCAGCCCGCAAGTTTCCCCGAAAATCCTCGAGCTTTAGTGTGGATCCGATGATTCAAAAGCTTCGTTGGGTTGTCAGGGCACCGCCAAAAAATGCGAGCGGTGTCCTTTTTGGCTGCCTGCGGATGGTTGAAATCGAAATCCGTGAGTCTCGCACTACGGTGCATGAAACCATGGGAATGAAACCACAACGTTTCTTGGTAGCGAGACTCGCCGATTTCGCCATCCACAGTAGGACACGACCGCCCCACAAGGGCTGTATAAAAACCCTAGGGTCCCTTGCCCCCACTAAAAGAATGGCCTTGTCCAAGTTGGATGACGATCCTGACCGGTTTTCTTGGTGGTGAAATATACCCTCCTGAAGCCTCCAGCCCTAAAGGGACTTCACCACAGATTCGGGTCGCAACATTCCCATTTTTAGTTGGAACTCTCGGGTCCAGGCCCCTTGCTTTACCGGGAACCTGCCTGAACCCCGGGGAGGTCTCGTTTTTTTTTGGGTCGCGGACCTCGTGTACCCGCAGCAGGTCTTTGGGAGGCACGCCGGCGGGGCATTCCCCGGGATAGGCGTCCTGGCGACCACTGGACGACGGTCGCCAAGGGGCGTCTCAGCCTGGCCTCTCGGCCTAAAACCCAGCCCCCGGTTCAAGGGACAGAGGTTGTTGCCTGGAAAATTCCAAATGAGGGGTCGTGTTTCTATGGCCCCTCGCCATTCTGTCTTTGAGGGCCTGACGCCAAACGACGCCCCGAAAAGCGTTGGCATCCTTAGGGAAATGAGGCCAAAGGAGTTATAAACTCAAAGCCCGGAAAAATGGTCAATCGCCAGAACCATGCTTACCGTCTCCAGAAGCCGGATATCCGCAGCTATTTGTGGCAAGGGGATTGGCCCTTACTAGCCTTCTACCCAGGTTTTGATTGTGGCTCACTTGGTAAGTGGTTGCATCCGGCGAAGTCCCCGTTCCCTACCCCGAAAAGCCCCAAAAGGAAGACGCGCGGTTCTTCAATTTTGCCTCAAACTACCCATAAACAAGAATTGGAATTCACCAATTCCATCATTTTGGGTTGCAATCGCCCATTTCTAAGTTGGAATTTCTTTCGGGTCCAGGTAGGCCACTGCTAGGACATACTGTGGATGGCTTCGCGAAATCCATTTCGCTTCTCGCACCACCTGCTGGAAGACACCCAAAGGAATGGTATTCGATTCCCTCCAAGGTTAACTCCCAAGAAATCAGAGTTTCAACTATGGTTGCTGAGTCCGGTGGTGCGAGAAGTGGATTTCGATTTTAAACCACCCACAGTATTAAGTGGGGTTGTCGTCAAAGTGTCCCTGGTACCCTTTCAGGGTCCCTTCTGCACAAATGATATGAATGAACTAAATCAGGTTTGCGCTAATTTGCTTCTTGCATCATGTCAGTCAAGGCCAAGATGTAAGATGGTCCCAAACGTTGACCCAGGTTTAGCGGCTTAAGTCAACCAACGAAAAGCAACATTCCCCGTCCTCATGGCAGCGTGTGTCAGACCACAGCAGCCAGGAGACGCAAATCCCTCGCTGCAGGGATGGGCTGGTTGGACAACCTCCTTTGAGATCCCCAATAAGGGATCCGGGGTTGATTGTTTGAACGAATCCCAACCCTGAATCACCAGATTCTGGTACGCCCAAAAGAAAAACCAGAAAGAATAAACGGGTTGGCAAATACTTCACGGATCAGGTTGGGCCAAGCCCTTGTTCAAACCAACTCTTGACAAAAACACAAGGGGAAAAACAATCATTATCCTTCTCCTTTGAGGACCTATTTCGTTTTTTGTTTTTCAACCCCCGCCTCGCTGGTCAGGTTCTCGGTAGCACCAACCACAGCCACTGCCGCAGCAGCGGCTGGCAGTTTCAATGGCATAGCAGTCGGAAGCTTCCGCTTCCTCTGCCTGGGACTGGCCACCAGGGGCCCTTGAAACCATTTAAAAAATAAAGGCTTCCTGTGGAAAAGGCAAGAAGGACCACCAGCAAGACGTTTGCCCCTAAGCGGCTGCCCACCGAAGGACATCCAAAGCGGCAAAGGGGTTTCAAAAACTAGGGGTCGTTCTGTTGAAAAACCAGCCATTTCCCCAGGGCTTTTAGCGGTTTTCTAGAATGAAGGATCCCTAAAAAGAATGGGGAAGTTACCCTTAGAAAAAACATGGGACCCCTCACTCCCACTAACATGGCACCTGAGCGGGGGCTACAAGAGGAAGCTTATCTTCCAGGTATAAACTCCCACAGATGCCAAGACAGCGGAAGGGTGGTATTTGTTAAGTCTGGCAATGGCAAGTCAATGTCCACGGCAAAGTCACGGGAAGAGAACTTGCCCTGCTAACCCACGGAATGGAGGCGCATTAACTATGAACCACTAGGTGGGCTGGTCGGCCAAGCAGTAGATGTGCAAAGGACAAAAAGGACCCAAAACGCAAATGACTTTGGTTCTGACCAAATGGCTATAAGGGCTTCTCTTGTATTGGCCTTACTATAACTGCCACAAGAAGAGGAAGCAAAACAGCCTAAGCTCAAAATCGTATGCTCGAGTTCAAAGCGAAATCCCTTCAACAAATGTCGGCATGCTCAGGTAGCGCTCGGGACGGGGTTGTGGTTGAAAAGGAAAAGCGGATAACGCTGCCCAAAAACCGTCGAAAACGGTGCCACAGGGCAGCTGGGTGGCTTGCAAAGCTCCCGCACTCACCTCCGCACTCACCTCAGCGTGCTACATGTGTGTGTGTGTGTGTGCCTGCTTTTTGAGGGTACCCCTTTTCTTGTTGGTATTAAAGGGAAAGCAAAAGGTGTAACCACCATTTTCGGAGGGGTCCCCTGCGCGCGTCTGTCAAGATTAGGGGCCGCCCGACCCAACCACCGGGCTCGGTCGTGGTTCGGGTTGTAGGGGGTGGCAGCAGCTTGATTCTATGACCAAAAGGGCCTTGGTCGAAGGAGTGGGGGTCCCCCCGGTCTCGACCCTAATTCCCATAGGTGTCCTTTCAGGGGAAATAAATGGCCCTGGTAGATGATTAAACCAGGTAAACCAGGAATCGCCACCGTTTTTTCTACCAAAACAACCAAAACGGACACCTATGCTAGTTCCACTGATCCAGTCTTCCCTATGCAACCAGGAAAACTCCCAGCCCAACTCCAGTGCTCTGAGACTTGGCCAAACCTGCACATGCCCGCCGCAGCTGAATGACTGCTTCTGTGTGCTGAATCATATCCTTTTCTTGCTGTTTTGCAGGAAAGCCAAAAGGAAAACCCAACCATTCCTTGGTCTTCCAAGGGCCCGCGAAAACAAGGTCATTCTAGACTTTGCTCGTAAATTGAAAAAGGACAATCAGCCAAAGGCCTCCTTTTTCAGAGTCCTGGAAGAGCAAATATTTTGTGGGGTCCCCTAAAAAGCAACACATCGATCCCCAAGTAGTGAATTCTGCTTAAGTAGTGAATCCCCCACCCGAATTGGGGAGGTCATCCAAGATGGGCTTGGGGCGACCTTCTATACTTGGATGATCTAACGACAGAACCCCCTTTCATGGAACAGGGATTATTAACCCCCAGTGTATGAATAGAGGGGTGCTTCTTCCTGGGTTTAGTGGGGATTCAGACCACTATTGGAGGGGAACGTTCCCCCTATTCATAAACTGGGGTGATGAAATATCCGGAGTCAACATTCGCGGCTTCCATCTGAAAGGCGCAACCCCGCTTTTCCTAGACGCCGGCCTGAGGCCCTCCCCCTCAATTTCTGGGCAGGAGGCTCGCAAGTGATGTGCACTTATGAGTGACAGCAGGGCCCGAGCAGCAGAGGACCCCATCGGCTCAAGGTGGACACCTTTGAACCTTCGGGTGTGCGTGTCCTTCAGTCGGGAGATCAACCCCTTGCGATATGGGCCTTTTCGACTTGTTTATCGCGCTTATGAACCAAAAGGTCAAAAAAAACTGGCTGGGGGCGGTCAATCCTCGCCTTTGGCGGGCAATCAGCTTGCTGATTTGCATTGTACGCAACACCCCGCCAACAGAAAGCACGTAAGAAAAGCTGATGCTTGGCCATAAACTGCCCAAAACCTCAAGCCGCCAATCATCAGTTGACACTCCTTGAGTGATGTACTGCCCCAATTAAAAACACCTAACGGTTCAAATACCCTTTGAGGATGGGGAATTTCTGCGTCAAAGCACCTTCTTGCTTGGAAGGTGCCTGCACTCCCTGGACCCTCAAAAAAACGATCCCTTGACAATTGGTTCTTGCCCTGAAATCCTGAGCGAATTCCCGTTTTTGCTTCCTTCTTCTTTTTTTTAATGTCCAGGGGCAGTTGTTTTTGGTAGGCAGGTCTTCCGTACCATGGGCTCCCATCTCAGAATCCAAAAAAAAAACAGGTCCCCTGACAGACAATAGCTGGGGTTTCCGCTTCCAAAAGTTGAAAACAATCCACGTCAAGCTGCCATTTTCGCGGGATCTTTAAAAGACGAGGAAATGGAGGGACCCCTACTGGTCCTGGAGCCAAGCCGAGGAAGTGCAAAAACGTCATGGGGGCCTGGGGCTGCGGGGGAGGGAGGGGAGGCCTGATTAAGGACTTGATAAGGCCTTAATGTTGACCCCGGATTAATAAACCCCAGTTTATTAATATGGGGGTGCTCCCTCCAAAAGTGGTCCGAATCCCCACTAAAACCGGGGACAAAATACAATTCGCACCTCTTGGAAACCATGAGGAAATGATTGTTTGCTACGGTATGTACAGGGGAATCGAATCATTCCATGGTTTCTTAGGTGGTGCGATTTCTGGATTTCGTCCATCCACAGTAAGGCCTTATTTGGGCCCTCCCTCCCCCCCCCTCCCTCCCCTCCCCCCCTCCCCTCCCCTCCCCTCCCCTCCCCTGGCCCCGTTAAACAGAATATGCCTTCGCCTGGGCATATCATACAACTCACCGGCCACTTTTTTTTCCGCCGCTCACGAGTCGAACTCGGGGCGGAACGCCCCAAGGACCGGCTGCTTAACAATAGAAACATTTCCGGTAGTGATAGATTCCCTTTAAAACCAAAAGGGAAAAGTAAAAAGATATGTTTAAGCAAATGGAAGACCACACTCCAGGGGAAGCACAAAGGCCTGGGCGATGGACTCAATAGAAACAACATGTCCATCATCAACCCTTTGGTGAGCACCATGCCAGGGCCCATCTTGACGACAAAGGCAACCCATATCATAGTAGCCAGAGTCTGCAGATCAAACTGCCAAAGACAAGAAACTGTGGCCATTACCTTGGGGGGCAATGAAATCTGGAACTCTACCTTATTTCCCTTGTTCATGCTGTCCCGCCTGCTGAGTTGCACACTGACTTGAAGTGGATGGATATCGTTGGCCAAGAGCCGTCATTCGAAGCGCGGCAAACCCTCGTTGACCCAACATGAAGAAGGGCTCCTTTGCGGGCAGGTTGGCACTTTTAAAAGGGGCGTGCTTTCAGAGGCTTGGTACCCTTCGCTTAGTAGCAACCCCAGTTCCTGATCCAAAGCCAATTACAGTTGCCACAACCATCCTTGTCGCTCCCCCTTGCCCAGGCTCAGAAAAACAATAGATTCTTTTGCAGATAAGCCAGCTTTCCCATTGGCAGGGGTATCCATTGCTTGGATGGTTTCCTAAGTCGGATTTACCCTGCAAGCCACGGGGGAGATAACCGCTTGCCTGACGTATCTTGTCCCTTAACTTGTTGGTGAAGTGGAAACCCTGGCAAAGCCAGCTAAAAAAACCCTGAAAACGTAAGGGGACGGCAGGGAACCGCCAAGGTAGGGTCATCCAAGTATCGACTTTCGAGTCCCTGCGTCAGAGCCTTCACACATATTTTATCCCGCGACTTTCGCTGCACACGCGCGGGGGGGTTCTCCCGCTGGCCTCGTCACGCGCACATTCCACTCATCTCAAAGGCTGATGGTATAGGTGCATATATGATCAATGCACTCATGGCCATTCTGGGCCCCAAGGAGGGCTGATTTCCCATACTTAAGCCATAACCAACGTTGAACTAACACCCATAAACTAGGGGTTCATACCAAGGACTCATTTATTTATATATATATATATATGTATATGTACCAGTCCCTGGGCCAATGGTATGGTCCCCCCACTCCCCCGCATCATCCGCATCTTGGGGATGATGCTGGCATGCTGGGGATGCTGTCCAGTACCGTGTGTCTTTCACCCCGTGAACCAACACCCCCGCACCTCTCGCAACATCCCAACCCCTCCTTAACCCCAACCCTAAGCCTAAAGCAACCCAAACCCCAAACCCACCCGAAACCCACCGCAAACCAACCCTGAACCAACCCTGAACCAAGCCTAAACCAACCCACCAAGCCTAAACCAACCCACCAAGCCTAAACCAACTCCGAACCACACCCCAACCACCCAACCACCCAACCACCCAACCACCCCACCACCCCACCACCCCACCACCCCACCACCCACCCCACCCCCACAGGGGGGGGGGGGGTTGGGGGGGGGAGGGGGGGGGTCCACGGCCTGGAACATATATATATATATATATAGATATATATATATATATATTTGTATATGCGTATCCATTCAGCCTTTGACCATCTGGGCAGAACCGGGTCCCCTCATCTTATCGCCTCCCAAGGGTCCGGTGATGTTGCAAGCTGAAAGCCACCAAGGGTCGAAACCCGAGGACTCAAAGCAAGCCTCGGAAATGGATGCGGCTGGCGTGATCGTTTTTCAGGGAGTTTAGGGAATGACCGTTGGAGGAAACCAAACATATTCGACCCATGTCCCTTTAAATGGGACAAGTTGCCCATGGTCATGGGCCCGAAATGGAAGATTGATCAACCCCCAAATGTTGTTCAAGGTCATTTGCAATCTCGCCTCAGGTCGTTCAAATGAGGTTTCCCGGCAACTCGAAGAAAACCACCACATTTGGAAGGCGAAGTCGGACAAGGGGACAAAACAAGTCAAACACAGCCAATAACCCCTACCCGGAATTTGAGAGTGACAAGATCCCAATGTACCTTAGACGGTATCCATGAACCGTTTCTTGGAGATGGATCCGAACCCAAAGTAAAGCCGTTTTACCGGTCCAAAGGGAACTTGAAAAGCGAGCAAGCGGAGTCTGGCAGTCTCAACATGGGTGTTTCAATCTACCTGGAGTCTCCTTCTGACCCTTGAAAAAACTGGTTGGTCATTGACCCATTTTTAATGGACTCATGGACCCCTTTTTTGAGGATCTGGAATCTTTTGCTTACCCCTCCTTCACGTCTACGCAATCCAACACTCACTTCGTGAGCGGATTGGCCAGAAAAGAATCCGAACTAGTTGTTTACCACGAGCCAAAAAGGTGTGTGCCAACAAGGAGAAAAGTCCAGGAACTCAGGGAGTGAGAAGCTTCTTGAGTGGCCAGAAAAAGTCCGAACTAGTTGTTTACGACGAGTCAAAAAGGCTTTGCCAAATAAAAGGAGAAAAAAGTCCAGGAACTCAGGGAGCGAGAACACGACCCCAGGTTGTTAAGTCCTTGAGGCGACCAAATGGCAACTTGCTAACTGCATCCCAACGGCATGGGAGTTTGGATCGAGCACCCATTCCCTTTCTGGGCACTTTGGTGAGCAGTTGATGGTGGACATGTGTAGAGCATTGCTTGCAAGCAAGTGGATAATACCCAGGTCACCTGAGACACCCTGATGTTTGATTCCCCCGTAAACGCCAACAACCAATGTTCTCCCATGGTGTCTTAGCTTGTGCAGGATTTTGTCCAAGAAAACTATAAGCTAAGAAACTAACCATTTGTCACCAAGCCGAACATCCAAGCATTATAGTACCTTGAGTCTCCTTCTGACCCAAGTCAAAAATGGTTTGTCATGACGCTTGTATTTTGGGCAATGAGGGTCAGTCTCGAAGACTTGGGTGGCAGCCCTGGTTACCTGCTATGTTAGCTGGATTCATGTGTTGCTTGCCTTTTAACTCTCACTCGCCGATGCCGATGGAGTTGCTGGGTTTGACACGCAGGATGCTTCTATGGAATGTTGGAAACACACGATCTTACAAGTGTAGTCCCCCATTTGCTGAGAAGTCCACTGGTACCATGTGTCCAGTAGTGAAATCGAGTCCCTTTAAGACCAACTAGGAAATAACACATGTTTAACAAAATGGAAGTAGTCTATATGGGAGGCATATGGGATCACATGCCAATTATGAACCCCCAAATTTCAAATGGCAAAGCCCCCGCTTCTTTTCGCATGCTTACAATATCATATTCTGACCAAACAGCTCTACTCGGTTGGAACAGCCAAGTGGCAACTGGATGTGGTCCGGCTTGCTGGAACCCCCACTGTGGATGGACATAATATGACATAATCCTGCAGACCTAGGAAACCCTGGAATGATACGATTCCCCAACGGAACTACCGTAACAAACCAGGTGTTTCCCCCTGTAAATACCGTAACACACAAGGGTGTTTCCCCTGTAAATACCAACAAACGCTATGGTTCTGCCAACAAACGTTGTGGTTTTTTCCAGGGTTTCAAAGTGGAGTGTAGGGCTTCCAACGTGCGGAGGAGTCGATCGGTGGATCGGTCCAGGCCTCACTTCTTGCTGGCCTTGGCGATCTTCAGAAGCTCGTCCATGGAGGCCGCCTACCGGACAACTCCCGAATGAGACGGTTTCCCTGCCTCAGGTGGACCATAGACCTACAAAATCCTACCAAAAATGGCCTGCCCAAACTGATCCCCCGCCTTTCTTTTTTCTTTTCGTGGGTTAAATGAAAACTACCACTAAACACTGAAAGGCTAAAAGGCTAAGGGGATGGCTGGGAGCCACCAAAAAACTGGTTTTCAGAGGAGAAACCTGGGTTTCTTGAAAGGCATAATTACGGATAATACGGGTGTTTTGTACTGCTTTTATGCGGGTGTTGTGCGGGTTGCAGGAAGCAAAACCAGGTAGACTAGAAACTCTGACCGAAATGAATGTGCCAAATGGGGCGGCCCCATTGATGTCCCAAAAAGGATTTGCTTTTTTTGGGCACCCTGTGAAAAGCAAACCTGCCTGAAGCGCACTTGAAAGTTTCTGTCTCCATAAGACATGCTGTTTTCCCACTTTTGCGCAGCGATGCTTCCACAAAAGCCAGACCGACCCTCAAAAACCATGAACCCACCTCCCAAAGACGTTGCCCCTCGGGGTCCAAACGAGTTTTGCCCCCCCCCCCCCCCCTCGGCGCAAAGAAAAAACACGGGGAAAAAGAAGAAACAAACGGAACACACCAATGATGTCCTTTTGTTGAGAGCGAACCCGGAGTTCACTACCTTCAGCCCCCCCGAAAAAAACACGTCACTCATCCCCCCCGGTGCGGTGGTTCACCCTGGCCTTCCAATCGCCTTCGCCGCCTTTGGGGGCGACGTAGACGAGGTTTTTGTCCAGCTGAATGCTGGCGGAGCCCAGCTGGTACACGGGCTTGCCGTTGCGCCGCAACTTCCTCGTCTCGGACTAAAAAACGGCGGATGTTCGTCGAACAAGAAGAGGAGTCACCCTGTTTGGGCAAAAAAACGGCGGATTTTCGCGGAAAAAAAGAGAGGAGTCACCCTGTTTGAGCCTTGTTGCGGATTTTCATCAAAAAGGAGGAGTCGCCTTGCTTGAGCAAAAATCAGGGGCATGCGATCTGATTGAGTGACTCGAAATGAGTTCGGGCAGGCTGGTCGTCTGGTCGTAGCGGTCGGATATGCCTTAAAATATTCTGAAAAGCTTTGTAAGCGCTCAAGCCCCCTGACAAAAATATAACATATTTCCAGTGGTGATAGATTCCCTTCAAAACCAAAACGGGAATATAACAAATATTCATTTCAGCAAATGGAAGAACATCTTCAGTGCCAAACGCCCCGCTCCACCCTGACACAGACCGCACCTGGCTCCCCTTGGATCGCATTCTTGCATTTAGGGCCCCCGGCCAAGACCAGGGGTAACTTTTCCCCTTTCGTGGCTGAAATATCGAATCTGTTCTTCGCCTAAGCACACAGTCTCCATGGAATGTGGAGCCTATGTCAGTCAAGCCCAGTTTATATTTAGGGGGGGTAGAACTTCTCCCTGGGTGACATGTGGGGGAATCGGACCATAGGGGAGAAGAGCTTTCTAGGCGCCTTTTGGGGCTTCTAGACTTGAGACTCGCGAGCTTCTCCCCCCACCAAACCCCCACCCCCACCTTAATGAACCCCGATCGGTTGATTGATCGGGGGTGCCCCTGTTTTCACTGGAGGTGAGCACCCCCCTATTAATAAACCGGTTTATTTATCCGGGGTCAACATTACCCACCTACCCGCCCCTCCCCTCGGATCCCATCAAGGCGCTTGGGCAGGAAGATGAGACCCTCCTCTGCCGCCACTTGGGAGATGTAGTCACTGAGGCTCAGGCTTACCTGGCAACGAACGAAACCTCCGCGGGTTTTTTTCCTGGAAACAAACATATCCGCCCTAAGCTTGGGTGCTGTAGATCCCCCAGCAAAAAGTTTAACTTTTTGCTGGTTAAAAGGAAGTATGAGGGGAATCCAAAAAGTTAAAGTCTAAAGATGCAACTCAGTGGTAGAGTAAGGGTCCTGGAGATTGGTATGCAGAACTCAGGGGTCCCCGGGCCCCGTACCGCACCCCGGTCCGAGTCGCTGTTGTGGGGTCTCAAACAAGTGGTTTTGGAGCCCTAAAATCCATCAGGACCCTTAGGGCAAGTGACAAATGGCAAGTCTTGCGACCCAAACTTCTGTGGACAGAAAAACTTTGGTGGGGGTTCTTTATCCACCGACTATGCTGCAGGAATGGGGCTTTATGAGTCGGAGGAAGACATGACACCCACAATTATCTCTGTGTGTGTGGTTGTCTCAAGATAGCCCTTATAAGGGGATCCTTGGTTTTGCAAAACGCCAAATCTCACTTCCCGATTGCATTGGCCCCCAGTCCGAACTTTTCGTGCGCCAATAAGATAGTCCAAGCCCCCAAAAAAGTAAGTATGGGCGCAATGGGTGTGGTTCTGAAAGGAGACCAAGAGGAAAACCACCAGTTTGGAGGTCCCCCCCATTTTTTAAGACACACCCACATAAAGTCCAGGAACTCAGGGAGAAAGCAGTGCAATCACTCCCCCCCCAACAACTCAATGCGCGAGCCCTGCCTCCTCCACTGGCAACGAGGCACGAGGCTGCGGCTGTGGCTCCTCCTCCTCCTCCACTTCGATCGGGGCGGTGCCGTTGGACATGACGTGCTTCATGACCTCACAGGGACACACGCGTGCTCAATCTAGCAGGCAACCAAGACTACAACCTCATCTCGTCCAACCAAAAACCATCGTCCAACAACCAGCCAGAAAAGTAACCCAAGGCACCAAACACCTCGTTTGGTACCCAACAACCAGCCAGAAATCGACTTTTCGAGTCGAATCGGACCCGATTCGGATCGAAGGCCTCGAGTCCCTGGGCCAAATGCCGCTGCACCGCCGGGTGCTCCCGCAGCTGCGGGGGAAAAAGGCCCTGACACTCGGACGCGAGGACGCGGCCGTGGGTTGTAAGTAGAGTCTCCTTCTGACCCGAAACAAAAATGGTTGGTCATTACCCAAAATAAAGAAACTGGTCATGGACCATTTGTATTTAGGGTCATGGAGACTCCAGGTAGGGTCAAATGAGTCACTTGCTCAAAACCCGGTATCAAAATGCTCGATCCCCAGAACCATGCTTACAGAATTAAGAAGGCGGCCGCAACTATTTCTGGCTGGGACTGCCCCTTGCTAACCTTCATCTACCCGGGTTTTGATTGTGGCTCAAAATGGGGGTCCTGTCGGCGGGTCCTTTCGGTGTCCCTAATCAAGCCAAGATGTGGGTACCTTACTATAAGGATTATGGTATCTTCACAAAAGACATAAAGTTGGAATAGCACTCCACTCCAAAGACACCCCCTGCTAAGTTCGTCAAGAAAACCATTTCATGCGATATATGTATTCAATCCAGAACTTGCTCACCAGGGATAACTTAATTTATGGGACTTGGATGTTCAACCTGCATCAGGTAGGTTGCAGCCGTGGGAAGCCAACTCGAGTTACCCCGGTAACAGCAAACAGCTCCAAAAGGAAACTCACTTGAGATGTGCAAACCCACCCAACAAAAAAACCCACATCGAGCAGAGCCCCGGCCTCGACCCTCAAGCGAGCAGTTTGAAGATGCAACATTCAGGTTAACTCCATGATTTCGGGGCAGGCGGTGGAATTTCGAATTTCCCATGGCCTAAGTTGGAAGTTGGAGGGAAACCATAGGGGTTTTGCCATTGGGGTGTGGTTCTCAAAATGAAACGATCGGGGGGGCAAACCGCAGGCTTTGGTTTCCATGTTTCCACTCACCAGGGTAACCCATTTTGGGTACCGGTTTTTTGAGCCACAGCCATTTCTTTGGGGTGGTACCCCAAATCGTTGCCCAGTTCTCCTCGGGGTCCCGGTGTCCCCCCATCCACGCCTTCCAGCCCTGGTACCACTGCAGCACCTCCGAGTAGTCGCAGGCCTTCCGCGCTCGATCCCGTTCCGGCGGCCGGTGAAAGACCGTGGGTACTTCCCCCGAAGTCGGCGGGGAAAGCGAATCTGTGTGGTTGTCCAATTCCACTGGTTATGTAGTGGGGAAGCAGCATCTCTTCTGCCTTTTTCTAAATGGTCGTCCGATTTGTATCCTATGTTTTTTTGTATTTTTTCTCGGACCTGTTGATCAACCCCCATGTGTCAAAGCCGGGGCGAAATCCACGGCGAGTCGATCCGGCACTAGTTGGTAGCCCAACTGTTGCTGAATTTCGTCCATCAGTATCGCAAGCAGAAAGATCGGAGTTTTTTGCTTGAGGTGCCTGGACTCTCAACATTCCAACTTAAAAGGGAAATGATTGCAACTCGCAACCGCAAATTAGGAATGGGTGAGTTTCAAGCTTTTGATGGGTAATTTCAGGGTTCAGGAGCCCTTGCTGACAGGGAAACCATAGCGGGGGTAGCTTGACACATACCCAATGGCTCGATACTGATACAAGGCGGCAAATGTCCGTGGCCAGTAAAGGAAGTCCCCCCCCCCCCCCCCACCCGCCCTTTTTGGCAGATGTGTGCTTTTCCCCAGGCTTCGGTAGCGGTCATACTGTGCCGGCATTATCAAAGTCACCCCGCGAGAGATTGAAGTAAGGGAATCAATCACAGCTTCTGATTTGATGATACCTAGCCAGGGGTCACTTGATTTCCCCTTGAAAAGTTGCAATTGACTGGTGGTTCCCTTGAAACTGCCACTGTTGAAAATTCCACAAAGGAACATGGAGGAGGCCCAGCCAGAAACAATCAACAAATCACGGACCCAGCGGAACGGTGGATGCCCATTTGTCTAGAAGGGGCACAAGAAACCTCCCTGTAACTTTTCTTACAGTTTACTAGGGTCTTTGTAGTCTCACTTGCTGACTGGATTGGCCAACAAAAGTAACCAAACTTTATATTCCACAAAAATGGTCTTCCCAAAAAGTTTGAAGTCCAGGAACCCAGGAAGTGAGTAGTAAGCGGTTGGTTCACTTGCAGTATTTCGGGTATCCATCGCATCTCTTTTAGTGCTTCCAGCAAAAGGAAACCATCCTACAAACCGAATCGTGGACAATTCCTACAGGTAACATACCCTGATTGCCTGCTGTGGCAGGTTGCCGCCCCGGGTGTGTTTCACGAGCCATGCGGGGGTGACGCTTTTGGAGGTTTTGTTGTTTTGTGTTTTTAAAAAGGGGGAGCCAAAAGAACAAACACCCATTCTGCTTATGCCTTAAAGGGGGGGGTCCCACAAAACAAACACACACATGTTTCTTTTTTCGGTTCAGTTGGGGTTTCCACTGGGCCTTAGCTATGAGATCCAAGCATCCCAAATGGGTGGCTCCTCTGTGTTAAGGTTGAACCACCCTTAAATGACTTCGGTGCTCCTTTCGGCTTTTTCCAAACCGGCTGCAAACAACAAGGTTCAAATGCGAATCCAGGGAATCAAACAAAATCGGCCTCAAACGACTGTTTGGACCCCTCAAACTACCCATAAAGGAAAGTTCAAATTCACATCATGTTTAAGTTGGAATGTCTTTCGGGTCCAGGTTGCTTTGTTCGGGGAGCTCCTCCAAGTCGAACAAGGGCACCAGACTGCTTTTAAGCTACCTGGGCCCTCAAACTACCCATAAAAAAAGGACATTCGCCCACCATGATTCGATCATTTTGGGTTGCAATCATCTTTTTTCCTTAGGCATCAGACGGCTTCTCAGGCTGGGACTTTTTTCTCCCCCTACACACAACCACTCCGCGGATCGCCCGCGGTCAGCCGCGGCGCGCCTTGGTCTTGAGCCAGCGCCTCAGGGCCGCGTGCCACTGGGGGAAGAAGGCGCCCTCCAAGGTCCGCGCCACGTTGGGCAAGGGCAAGAGGTCCAGCCAACCTCAAGCAGATTGCCCGCAGCGGTGTGTGTGTGTGTCCCCTTGTTTTTTGTTTTTTATAGGGGACCCCCAAACAGGTCGTTGGACCCAACCAAAAGTCCAACCTCAAGCCGAAGAAGAAAAAAACAACAGCACTGGGTATGTGTCCCTGATTTTTGGAGGGACCCCCAAAACTGTTGATTGTTTTCCCTACTGTGGATGGAAAATCCTGCACCATGGTTGAAACCATGGTTGAAACCATTGTTTCTTGGTTCATACAAGGGAATCGTCCATCCACAGTATGGTTTCCCTTTAAACTGACCCACAAAAGGATACCCTTCATGAAAACACACACACACACTGAAGGGGGATATTTTGCGAAATTTGGACTCCTGCTGGTTATTTGAAGGGAAAGCAAAAGGGAAACAAACCGTTTTAGGGAACCGATAGAACGCCCCTTGTGTTTTTTGCTGGGGTTAGAAAGGGCCAATTCTTTTTTCTTGAGACGCGCCCAGGGGTGGAAAGGTCCGCAAGCAAAAACAAGCCCGGCAGGATCCGGCAGGCCACACGCAAATCCGACCTCGCCAAACAACCTGATTGACAATGCCCTCAACATGTTGGACTTGGAGGAAGCTGCCTGAACCCTCAAACTACCACCCTAAAAAAGGAATTCACCAAAAACATACGTTTGGCTTGCAATAGCCCATGTTGAAGGAATTTTGAGGGTCCAGGCACACCTATCTTGGATGTTCCACGTCAGGTACGCAGGTTGTAGCCCTGGTCATAAGTGTGCCACCCCCAACGGTTGTAACCCACTTCCCTGAGAAGGTAGATGGCTCTCCAAACCGATCCACACCAAGTGAAAGGGGTCTGGCTGGAACCACCCGTCATTCATCCGGCGGGTTGAATCACCTGAAGTGGACGCGAACCTCACTTAGGACAAAAGTCGCAACTTGTTTGCTGCGGTCCAAACCAGGAACTCGGGAAGTCAGGGGCTGTTCCAAAAGTATAAAGTCCAACACAGGGAGTCTCCTCCTCCCATCTCGAAAACCACACCCTGGAGAACCAAACTCCTAAGGGTGTAACTCAAGGGCTGAGCATCTCAGTTGCCCCCAATGAGACCCAGAAATAAGCGGTGATCACCTTTTGGGGCCACGAAAAATCGGACCCCACACAAGAAAACGAGAAGGTAATTTCAGGTTGATTCGCTTCGGGCAAGTGAGGTATTCACACAGGATAAGTACCTGGGCCCTCAAAACTCCAACTTAAGATTGGGCTCTTGCAACCTAAAATGATTGTTGATTGGTGAATTCCACCTTGCTTTTCAGGGGTAGTTGGGAAACCCACTATATATAAAGATGATATGTCCCACTTAATAGGAAAAGTTAGCCATGGTCATTCTGGGGCCAAAGGGAATATTGATCAAACCCCCATGTTCAGGCGGTCGAAGGGAATTTCAGCTTGGGAAACCGCATAGGAATTTCGGGCCGTGGGCAATGACAAATTCTGTGACACAAGAAGTTGGCCTAAGACCGTTGGCTTCCCCCATAAGACATCGAGAGACTCCCAATCGAGAGGTGGCCACAGTGCCTGGAGGAGCCCCGCGAAACCGATCATGCAACGGTTTTTGTGTCTTGTTTTCTCATGGGTAGATTGAAAGATATGCTTTTTCATGGGTGGTTTTGATGGGTGTTCAGGGGTTCTTCGTGGGTAGTCTTTCATGGTTTCATGGGAACCCCAGTGGTCCAGGTAATTGAAACGGAAACCACATAGGCTTCCCATCGGCCCAATTCAGAGCCGGGCCCATGTTGAACTCACCTCCAATTGGCGGCGAGCGGCTGAAGAGGCTCCGCAGAGCTGTGAGGTCCTGGCCATCCGGCCTCGGAGAACATGGGGTGTTTTTTGTTTCTTATTTGTTGTCCTCCTTTTTTATCTTTTGTTTGTGCTTGGTTTACTAGTTTTAGAATTATGTTGGTTTTGCTTTCTTTCTTTCTTTCTTTCTTTCTTTCTTTCTTTCTTTATTTCTTCTTTTTTTTGGGGTGGGGGGTGGGTGGGGGGGGTGGGGGCGGGGGGTGGCTGCAAATGGAAAGGTGCCTTGGACCCGCTTCAGAACCAAAAGGCTTTTGACAAAAGGAAGGGGGAGTCACACAGTCACAAACAACTTGACGCTGCAATTTGCGCACCTCCCCCTTGATCTTCCAGAACCCTGAAAAAGCAGTTGCCTTTGGTTGATTTTCCTTTTTCAACCAAGAGCAAAATCAAGAAGGACCCTGTTTTTGCGGGCCCTTGGAAGACCAAGGCCCATCTTTAAGTTGGAATCTCTTTCGCGATCAAGGTGGCTCCTTTTCTGGAGGATACCGGTTTATTTTCTGTTCGGAAGCCAAAAGGAAGCCGGAAGCCCATGTTTGGGGAATCTGCTAGTTCCCATTCGAGACAAACCCAAACAAAGATCCTTGAGAAAAGGGGAAGGGAGTGTTGTGGGCAGGGGTTCAAGGAATGATCTTGGATTTGCTGTGTTTACTTGACGGATTCGACCTCCTGCAAAAATTGGACGTGTTTGGTTGAAAGGTGGAATTGTGTAAGTCAAAATGGCAAACAGTTAAAGAGGCAAGCTAAGCTTGGCAATGTTCAATAGGCATGTGATTGAATTAGGGGTCTGGGTCGGAGTAGAAATACGTGACATCTCATCTTACATCTTGCTGCTTCAGTCCTTCCACAAGAGCCTCAGTACAAATATGCTTGGTTCCTTGCCCTTCTTTGTTGTGAACGTTTGAATTTGGTCCATGGACTGTATAGCATATACGTTGACACAACATCGCGAACGGACCAAGCGGAATACCACACCCAGTGCTTGCAGCTACCACTACAGCAAGCAACCAGCAGAAATTACTGCAACACCAAGTTCCAAGGCAAACCCAGAGGCACGGAAAACTGTTTTCTTTCAGCTTTGTTTTGCTGTTCGTTGTTTTGCTTTTTTTGGGGGGGAGGTCCCCTAAAAACAACACACCCACAATATTGGAACCCGGTAGGCTTACGCTTACGTTTCTTGCTGGACCCCCAAAACCGGAAATTGGTTGAGAACCCCAAGCTACAGAATCGTCCTTGGCTTGTCTCAAAATAGGGTACCCTAAAATTGGCGGTTTTCCTGGTGTTCCCCTTTGAACCCATCCCAAAAAGGGCATCATCAAAAAAAAGGACATCTCTTTTATTTGCTTGCCCGATGTTGAAAACAAACAAACAAAAACTCCGAGCAAAAAGCCAGTCCTCTGGAGCCGGCCTTAGGCATTAAGGCCAAAGGCCCACTGCCCAAGACCTGACTTTTGCTTGGGCATTCAGCCATTGTCTCCTTAGGGACTCCTAGGGTTGCAGCCCTCATTCTTTTGCACCCATCCTTCTTTTGAGAAACCACTAGACTGATACTCTCTTTTTTTTGCCGGATCCCTGAGAGCATTCAACCAACTATCCGCGCATCAGGATCCTCAACAAAAATCCCCTCAAACATGGCTTGTTGCCCCAACATTCTGGTTGGTGAACCGTCTTTGTTTATGTTGGTAGGTTATAACCACGGTTAGGGAAACCCCGGCTACCAACCACTCCCCCTGGTTGTGTTGGCTGCTAAGTCGTTCAGTGATCACCTCCTTGGGCTGTCGGTGCGTCGTTTTTTCGTGAACAAAAGAGCCACAATCAAAACCCGGCATTAAAATGGTCGATCCCCAGAACCATGCTTCAAGAATTAAGAAGGCGGGATTGGCCCTTACTAACCTTCATCTACCCTGGTTTTGATTGTGGATCAGAAGGGATTGAGAGGGTGCTGAACGACTGATAAGTTGGTTGAACATGCTCCGGATGCAACTCAGTTGCGATATCCAATCAAAGGCTGAATTTCGGGGCTAGGTTCTCCTTCTCTCAGTTGCCCCTTAGGGACCCAGAAATAGACAATGAACCATTCGATTCGCTTTGAAGAACTGATTTTTGAGCGAAAAGCTTCACTTTTTCACCATGGCAGTGGTGGGGGACCCAATGCTTTAGCAAATATGTCGCAAGTTAATCGAAGGCACCGATTTAACCTGGACTATCCGACGTGAGCGAGACGGGGGGGTGTCACTCTCCCCACCTCAGCGGTGTGGTCATTCAAGGATACGGCATGTCCCACAATGCCTGGATATGCCAAAGAAAAAAGAACGGGACGTTCGGTTGGGCTTTGCCCAAGAGTGACATTGCCTGAGAGAGATACTCCGCTCTTGAGAAAGGGACCCAACATCCCCCCCCTACCTTACAGGGAAGGGGGGTGGGGGGTCCCCAATTCCATTTATCTAGTCTTCCCCATAAAAGGGAAAATTGAACCATAAATGGCGATCTCCAAAATTCGAAATCCCCCCTCCCCCAATTCCATCTTTGAGGGGGTGGGGATGACCCAACACAATTCTCAGTTGTTCAGTGACCCTGGCAAACAAGGAAACCCTTTTGGGTAAGACAATTTTTATCGGGGCGGCCACCGGGAAAAAAACAGAAAGAAAAGGGTGCCAAAAAAAGGAGAAAAAAAAGGAAAAGGGTGCCCCCCCAAAAAAAAGAAGGAGAAAAAAACAGGAAAAAAAGGGAAAAGGGCGCCGCTGAACCTCCCACAGATGTTTTTCTGCCACTCCCAGCGGCTTCACCGGGGTCGCGTGGATGGACTTCTCCAAACGCTGCAGGACCTTCTCCATGAGGGGCTCCCAGTTGGACGCGTCAAAGACCTTGCGAGGGCAAGGACCTAAGGAACGTGAGAGCTCTTGGGCAATCTGGAGATCTCACAACTTCGCCCGGAAGCCGAAAAAAATGGGGGGAAGTTCCCTTTGGTTTGAGTGAACCCTCAAAAAGCTCAACTTAAACATGGGTTGTTGCCATTTTTGTGGGGCTGAATTTCCTGGGTTTTTTGAGGATCCAGGACGCCTTGTTGGATAGTCTTAAGGCTAAGGGGAAACCACAAGGAGACCAACCATTCGAGGAATCGACAAATGTGCCACCGTTTCACCCATTGACTTTTTCTACGTGGTACAGGCTTATATAGCTGTGGTTCAAAATAGGTACTCAAAATGGAACCCTGGTAAATGGAACCAAGGACTAAAACCTATTGTCTGGTTTAATTCTGAGCCACACCCAGAATGCAAAGCAAAGCGCGTATTTGGCAGAGAAAAAAGGAGAAACACACGCTGGCTTAAGATACCATGCAAGGAAACTTCTCCACCCAGTCTAGGTTCTCCAGTAGAGATGTTTTTTTTTTTTTTAAATTGTTTTCTTTTTTTTTCCCGTTGTCTATTTTAGTAGGGGAACCCTCCCCAAAAAAATGAGCAATCCTGGCAAGGGTCGGGCCATCCTTGTTCAAACCACCATCAATTCAATCACATCCACCGGGACCCTCAAACTTGCCGCCAAAAAACACACTTTGTGGGTTGCAAGAATGTCCACTTTCAAGTTGGAATGTTGTTTGGGTCCAGGCTTTGTCCGTTTACAAGCGACCAGGGCCGGGCTACAAGCGACCATCATATTTCTGCTCAAGTCCTCTAAGGGTGACTTACCCTGAATGCAAGCCTAGAAGACGTACTAAGCGGGGGAGGTAACCCTTAATTGGCCATGGGTCAAAATCACGTACCCCCAGTGAACACCCCAATCCCAACTAAAATAGACTAAGATGGGTGGTGCAGCTACCCCAAAATGGTACCATTGGCTTTGACCCCACAACCAATTCAGGCACTCCTCGATTGGTCCATGCTCACCCTTCTTGAGTTGGTTCCATCCTCAGACTACCCAAACAAGTTGGGGTTCACCCATTCCATAAAATTTTGGGTTGCAATTTTCCCCAATATATTCAGAATTCTGAGGGTCCAGGAACATGGAGCGTCAATTGAAAGGATTCTAGGGGTTGATTCCTTGTTCGTTTTTTTTCAACCATCGTTCTTCTCAAAAACCGAAGCGCTGTTTCCCCAGGGTTTCTGGTGGTTTTTCAGAACGATTCGGAATTGTGGAAAGAATGGACATGGAAGCTACCCCTAGAAAAGTGTCTTACCATTGCAAGTTATAAGGGCACCTCCAAACCGACTTCCCGACCTCCCACTAAAATAGTAGGTTGTTTTTTTGCTAGAATGGGCGGGGGCATCCCTTTGGTTTTCACCCACCTGCCATCGTGTTTCGGGGTTCCCGTGGATGGAAAAAAGACCGCGGATGGGGTTCGTTCACTCCTGTGTTGGGCTTTGGTTCCCGGGGCTGGGAATGGAATCCACTTCTGTACGCAAAGGGCCGAACCCCAAAATTTGTTTGTGTTCAATATGGCTGTGGCGCAAAATTCAACGATCGGAGGGGCGGGCAAACGCAGGTTTTGGTTTCCATGTTTCCACTTACCGATCGGGCAACCCATTTTGGAATTCCGGTTTTTTGAGCCACAGACATATGAAGGGGGCATCCCCACAATCGTGGGGAGAAGTGGTTGGAGAAACCAGAGAAACCCAAACTCAACCAGGTTTCTCCCTCCATTGTATCACAGTGGTTGGAGAAACCCCTTGACATAGGTGGCCTTTTGGAAAAATCGACGGGTTTCCCTGGTAAATGGAATTGGCATAAACCCCAAATCTAAACCAGGGATCGGAATCCCTCTATTTTTTAAGCAAACCAACCAAAAAGGACACCAAAATGGGGTCATGGCCCAAAAGAACTGGGTCCTGGACCCATTTGTAAAGGCTCAGAAGGAGACCCCAGGTTGATCCGATACCCCCCTTCCGCGTTTCGCTCCTGGTGCCAGGGCATCAGCAGGCTCTGGGCCGACGGGTCGGACACCTCCCAGCGCTCCAGGCACCCGGAGATCTTGAAGCGCACCGCCGGCCACAGCAGATCCAGGCGCTGCCTGAGGCCGCGGTTTTTTGGTGGCCCGGAGTCTCCATGACCCGACCTGGAGTCTCCTGCTGACCCTGCGAAAATGGGGTCACCCGGAGTCTCCCCTTCTGACCCCACCTGGAGTCTCCTGATCTGACCCTGCAAAAATCGAAAAATTGGTGGGTCAGTGCCCAAAATTCGGGGATCAGGACCGACCATTTTTTGATAGGGTCATGGAGACTCCAGGTAGAAAAATGGTTGGTCATGACCCCCATTTTTTGAGTAATGACCAAGCATTTCTTCAGGGTCATGCAGACTCCAGGTACCCTACTGTGGAGGGTTGCGAAATCTATTTCGCACCTCTTGGAAACCATGATGAAATGATTGTTTGTTACGGTATTTACAGGGGAATCATCATTCCATTGTTTCTTAGGTGGTGCAAAATTGCGTCCTCTACCACATGATGTCGGGATTCATGTTCTCTAGTCTTCCCGGGCAAATGGGTTAAGCAATCCATGAAAAAACATCTAGCACTAAACCCCCGGTTTTTTGCACACCCTGCCTTTCTTCAGGGTTTGGGTGCTCTAGCACTAGCTCCTCCAGTAGAGAGGTTAGAATAAGGCTACCCGATTTGTTGGGGACCTAGTACCACATGATGTCGGGATTTCTTGGTACCAACATGCGATGTCTCGCTTTTCTCGGGAGTTTTAAGGGCTGATTTTTGGTTTGGAACCACATGTCGGGAGTTATGGGTAACCTTGACAACCCAAACGGTATGGTGGGCAAAAAACAAAATATGAACAGGCCCCCAAGAAACTGAACACCTAAAAACTTGCCAACAACAGTGAAGACACATGTGATGTTTCCATGTTCTGGGGAAACCAAAACCCGTTGACTGTTGGTTCTACCAAGATGGATGGGCCTTTCTGCGGAAATTTCGAAGGCAACATCTGGGGGAGCACCAGCAAGCATCACTAGCATCACTAGCATCACCAGCCCCAGGAACGGACACCACCCCCTTTTCTGACTTTGACAACTCCCAGAAACCGTCAAAATCATGACCCAAGCCAATTAGTTGCTGGGTTTTGGAGTTGCACCTTGGGGAGTTGACCCTGCGTCTTATCAGGAAACCGACTTTCGGAACACCTCCCAAACACCAATGAGGGTCAACCTGACCATGAGACCCGAAGGCACCAAAGGCACCAGCTTGAGATCGGGGAAACAACAGGAAGTCGGTGGACGTCGTCCATTTTGGGGCTGCCCAACTTTGGGCCGTAATTTTTAATGCCCCGACCCTTTGATGGGCCAGAATTCGGTGGGGATTCGCATGTCCGAGAACTTTTGAGGTGGCTCTAACTGTTGGAAACTCGTGGCTTTCCACAAACCTCCGCTGGGTTACTAGCAACCGCCTGGACCCGAAAGAACTATGCTTGATGATTTTCCCAAGAGGAAACCAAAAGTCTAGGGGTTGTTTCCCATTTTTTTCGACCATCGTTCTTTTCGAACACCTGCCGTTGCCGGGTTTCTGGAGGCTTAGAAAGATCCGGATCCCTGGAAAGAATGGGGGAGGTACCCCTAGAAAAAGGCGATTGGATGGCAAGCAAGCTCAGAGGCCAAGGCTCCCAAGCACTGGCAGCCAGGGATGTAGCCAGAGATGCACCGGGACAGCGTCCACTCTGGGGTCCCACTCCTAACGAAAACGAATCTTCTCCTAGCGCCCTAAACCCGCTAATTCTTTGGGGGTACCTGGACCCGTTTCAGAACTACCGACAAAACAAATTGGAATTCAGCAACTCCAAAATGTTGGGTTGCAACTCACCCTTGGAATGTTGACTTACATGGTGAAGAGTTTTCGAGTGGCGCTACTCTTCCAACCAAACCAGGCAACTGAACCACCTATGGACAAACGGGTTTTGGTCGCTATGTCTCGAGCATCCAGTGCTTCCAGACAAAACCGGCACGGCAAACGAAGGGTAGGACTCAGAAATGATACATATTGCCAAAGGTGAGCTAGGTGGTAGAACCTGAACCCTCAAGCTACCCAAATTCACCACTTCCATACTTTTGGGGCAGGACAAAAGACCATGCTTAAGGCTGCAAATCGTCAAAATCCCACCTACCTGGAGTCTCCATGACCCTTTAAACATGGGTCCACGGTCCACGACCCCTTTTTTTGGGTAATGACCCCCATTTTCAAAGAGTCAGAAGGAGACTCTAGGTACTCCAAGCAGCCCCCTTTTTGGGGCACCGACTCCCCAAACGACGCCACCGCGCTCGCTCGGCCAAGAGAACCTCCGCGAGCCGCCGCGCCTCGATCTCCGCGCGGAGCCGTGGGAGCACCACCTCCGCCACCAGAGACTCGGCCACCTGGGCCTGGAGCACCTGGCGAACGCGGCGCCAGGCGAACTCACAGCGGTGTGGATGTGGCGAATCTGTGGATTTTCATCTCTGTAGAAAATCTGAAAAAGAGTAGGGTGGTTAAAAAAAAAACGAGGAACAGGGAAGAGGCTTCATGGATGTTCAACGCACTTATACCCGGATACTCCTAAGGCACAACTTCTAAGATTTGTCCGAAAGAAGCAGAAAAGAAGCTCCTGCCGGTCAAAAACGCTTGGCTCGACACGGAACAATTCGGTTCTGGATGTTCAACCCACGTCAGGCAAGCACCTGGACCGGACCCTTAAAAGTACCTTTAAAAATGGGTTGTTGCACCTTTCTTTATGGGTAGTTTCAGGGTCCACGGGACCATGAATCACCCAGTTATATCCATGCGTGTAACTTGTTGACACCTACTTACTAAGTTGGTGGATGTTGTCAGGGGGCCTTCTGGAAAGAGAAAAAATCCCTGGAAATGATCTAAAATCAAAAGGAACAGGGTTCCTTGGGGCAGAAATCGGCAAATTTACGCCAAAAGTCCAGGTCACGGAGGAAAAGAAAGCCAACCGCCCAAAACAAAAGAAGTGAACAAAATCCCCAAGCCGCAAAAACGTCCACCGAAATCGCCCCTCAAAGCGCGGCTGGGCACTAAGCCGAATCGACGCCCCACGCCGAATCGAGCCCGAATCGACGCCGCATCGAAGCGGGGCGCCTGCGTGCACTTCTCCATGAGCCGCAGGCACGGCTCGAAGTCCCGGGGGCTCCAAGCCACCAGCGCCTCACCCGGCAGAGCGGCGAGCGGCCGAAACGGAAAGCGCCGAATCAAAGAAACGGGGAAGCAAGCAAGAAAGCAAAGGAAGGAAAAACGAGAAAGCAAACCAAAACACCAACTGGCAAATTGACACACGGACTGCAACAAAAACCAGGCGGAGCTTAATGCAACACCAGTGTTGGTAGGACGAGCGGTCCACATTGTCATGAGGGGATGCACGGGACGGTATGTTCAATGACCGCGCTGTGGGTGTGGGAAATACCGTTTGAATTTTGCACGAAAAGTGGATGATTCCGAACTTTAGGATGACCGTGTTACGTAGAAGGGGCTTCCCTTAGCAGCACAAAAAAAACGGCAACCAAACTCAACGGTGGGGCGTGCCAGCTTTCAGGGTACCGTTTTGGTGAGTGCGTGTGGCAAGGAAACTACGAGACAGCCACACACACGTTTTGGGGGGTCCCCTCTTCCCCCCTGGAGACCTCCAGTGGCCATAAAACTCAAACGGCACCACTCGAAGTCTGGGATCTGGCCTAGGGCGCTCAAAGGAGAGACCTACAAAAGGAGCCCTGAAAACTCAGGACCTGGAAGCAAAGTGAACCGGTCACTTGGGCTGAGGGAACGCCCCCTCTGCAAAAGGTTGAGAAAACTGGTTGTAAGTCCAATTCCTCCAAAACTCCGAGCTGCTTCAACCCAAAAACCTAAAGTCCAAGGATCCCTTACTAAATAATCACAAAGGCGATAAAGTCACATCCACTTCCTTGGAACCCCCCCGAAAATCAATGGAAAGAACCTCGCTGAAAGCCCTTCCGTGCAGAAATCCAAGTGGGCTGGCACCGCTGGAGGTCCAGGCACAAACTTGGCCCAGATTTGGTGTACCTGGGACCCTCCGACCACCTGAAAAATGAGCGATTGCAACCCCAAAAACATGGAATCGGTGAATTCCCTTGTTTATGGGTAGTTTGAGGGTACAGGTAGACAAGTACTAACATGTTCCGGTTCTGCTGCTTGAGTCCAACTAGAAAGCCGCGTTTTGGACACCGCACGGGTTTTCATACATTCCGTCCACCCAGACGTTCTTTGCAAAAAAACAAAAAACAACACAAAGCGCTTTGGAGCAGACCCCGAGCCCAGGCACCTCCATCCCCCCGCCGCTTACTTTGCGCTCCCATTGGACCCGAACGGAACCCCGCGCCTTGCGCAGCTGCGGCAGCAGCGTGGCGTCGACCAGCGCGGCGAAGCGCCCTGAAAGGCTTCGAGAAACCGAAGACGGCACCTCATAGACGACACCCTTTTGTGTTACCGGTAAAATAGACGACACTGGTAAATGAACCAAGAACCAAGCTGCAACCAGTGCCTAGGTTCAAGAGCTGGCCTGAAAAGGCCAAGCGTCCCTTTAATTGGTTGGGAGCCCGGGCCCGGTGATTTTGGAGGTTCAGGGTTGCGGGTGGTTTTTTGCATTTACCCTCGAAAGCTATGGCTGCAAATCCCACCACAAATCACCACGAAACCAACAATGGCCTGCCTGAGAAAAGGAAATCGGAAAGACAAATCAAGCAGGAACAAACAACACCTGGAGAAAATCCACCACCATGTCAACCCAACAGTCCCACTGGTCGTCCCGCTGGTACAGATAGTGAGGATGTACCAGAAGACAACCCATTGGATGCATTCCCAACCCGCATGCCCCAACCAAGGGAAACTCGACTTGAAATCGGCCTTGGTATTCAAAACCGCTGAACCAAGTCCAAGCGGATGCAACCCTCTGGATCTTGTTGGTACTACCCTCTACTCCAATACCCTCTTTTTTCAGGGTATCACGTCAATCCTAGGTTTTTACCATGGAAAATCAGGCTTTCCCAAAAATGCCTTGAAAAAAACAGGTATTTTGAGTAGGGGGTAGCCTGGGTCCTCATCTGTTGTTTGGGCCGAACATCCAAGTAAGATCCTGATTGAATCCCATCAGGTTCGCGACCATCTGGGTGAATTGCGACAATTCACAAACCCGAACCAAGAAAACACAGCAAATTGACATTTCATCCCACGGGAATCGGGTCGCACACAACCCCCTGTGCGAGGTCGTGGTTTCGTTCTCCCAGCCTTGTGCTTCAGTACGCAACCGACAATTCTTACGTCTAGGTGTTGTCATGGCTGGGTTTCCGCTGGTTACCTACTACAATGGCTGGGAGCATTGAGCAGATTACTATTTTATGCCTCGCTGTGGGTGTGTCTCAACATGAAACCATCAAAACATGTGTTCCGCATTCCCCTCAATCGGGAGACCCTAAATGGGTTCTATGCGTTTTTGTGACAACCCAAATAGGGTCCCCGACGAAAACTCGCCTCAACAAGAGACAACTTCCCACCCCCACCCCTCTCAAGGTTGGGCTTAACATAGCGGACCCCCAAAGAGATGGCTTTCCCTGTGGTTTCCCAGCAACCAACCATAGCTTACCCCTTAAAACTCCAAGCAACCTGGTGAAGTTCTCATCTTTTACAGACATATAGCCCATGTTACCCCCAAAAAGTTGAATGAACAGTTTTGTGTTTTCAAGAGGTAAGCACTTAAAAGACCAAACTATTGCGAAATGGACGTCCATCAGTATGGTTTCCCAGCCACCAACCATAGAAAGGGCTCTTTTTTAAACCAAAACGAGAGAAGCGGAGCCCAGGCCATGTCCGCGCCTCGCGCGGCCGTCGAGGCAGAGGCGTCATCCAGGCGTTGCCAAGTGGCCAGGCCCTAGCGATCGAGAGCTCCATTCGATCATTGGTTGGTTCTGTTATGATGAAATCATGACAAACCAAATGATCCCCCAAAAGTTGTTTTACTATTATTATGATTATTATTTCATTTTTTAAAACAAAACATGTTTTCACTGAGGTCAGTCTATGGCTGTCAAGTTCTCCAAAAGCTACCCTCCCCCTTTTTGGTGGCCCCCTTTTTGGATGACCCACCCGCCCCCCCCGCCCCCCCCGCCCAACCCGCCCCCCTTCCCACAAAGAGTGCGCCCCCCGCCCAAACCCACGCCCCCACCCGCCCCGCCCCCTTACCCCCCCCAAACCCCCCGCCTGAAACACCACCCGAAGACCTGAAGGAATTGGCTTTCAATTTTGAGAAACACCCGATCCACCCATCACACGGAACCCTTCAACGTGCTGCGAAGTCCTTGGTTTCGCCCATGTTCCTTTTAAAGGGACCAGGTCCCGAACGTCGAAGCGGGTGGGAGGGTATCCTTAAGTGACAACTGGCTGGAACACCCCTGGTAGCTACCTCAAAGGATCTCCTCAATGCACATGACATGAGCGTGCCCCCGGTTCTTATAGATTTGGACTCTGGACCCCCCAAAAATGCTTCGGTGTTCCTTTTGGTTTCCCTTGAAAACCGCAACGAATGGGCTACCCTCAAAAAGAGACACACCCATGAATCAGGTTTCACCACCAAAACGCCCGACATGAAACCCCAGATGAGGATTGGTGCACAGCCACAAGCCAAAAGCACCTTGCACTTCCGCACTTCAAAGGGAGTCCGCGTCAAGCTGATGTGAGTGCGCCGCTCCAGTTGTCAGGCGTGGAACGAGCACCTCCGCTTTCTTTAATCTCATTGCGTGGGCACATGTCGAAGAGTTTGTTGGCAGGCTTCGTTGTCGGTGAAGGAACAAATAGTCCAAACTGTCCTGCCCTCTTCAACTCAATGCAAATTCTGGGCCATGGCCCAAGTTGAAGCATGCAAATAATGTTTGTTCTACCACCCTCAAACCACCCATACAACAGCGAATTCACCAACCACAAGAATATATCATATATATATATATATATATCATATATATATATATATCATCTATATATATATATATCTAGATATATGTGTATATGATATATATATATATACATATACATATATATATATATATATATATGTATTATTTAAATGACAATGACCAATTTGTTAGGTTGGAACTTTGGTTGGCTCCAGGTGAGGCCCAAACCCGCAGCTCGAAGCCTAACTTTCACGGTGGAAATTTTCCACCCCCCGTTCCGTTCGCTCCCCGGGCCGGGATCCGAAGGTGGAACGAAGGTGGCCCCAAAAACAACCGGTTTTCGGGCCCTCACAGAGGGATCCGGATGCATACACCTGAGCATTGCAACTTGCCAATGCTGGGTTCCAACTTTATTTTGGTGTTGAAAAAGCCAGATGTTTCAAATGGTTGCAAAATGCATCTTTTAAGGAGCCCTGCTCAACATTCAGGGCTTGCCCCATTTTTGAAGGGTCAGATTCGGAGAAATGGTTGGGTCATTACCAAAAATAAAAGGTCAGGACCCTATTTTGATTTCGGCTCAGAAGGAGACTCCAGGTACTTGACAAAACCTGACGCCAGATGCCAGACTTGCCCGTTTTGGCTTCCCGTGAAAGGGGGGCGCGGGTGCCCTGATCAATTTGGCTAGTGCCTAAAAATGGAGAGTCCTGTGGCCTTGTGCCCGATCGATCGGCTGCCAAGTGATGGCGACAGTGGAGATCGCGAATTTGGAACTTGCCATCGGACAATCAAGCGCTTCAACATCCTGAACTTCACACGACCAATGCATTGGCCCAAAAGACAGGCTCAGGATATAAATTGTTGGGCCGCAACAAGCTCGCCGCTGCCAGCTGCAAAGATTCCTCCAATGCAGCAGGTTGGACGAGCTTGCTGTTCGAAGTGAAGGAGTTGGACATGCCCAAACTGAACCCATCCAACTCGTGGTTTTAAGAAAATCGGCTCAGTGCCGAAACTCAGACGTTCCCATCCCAGCACACCCTCCGCTGCTCCCCCAAAAGTGCCTGGGATCTCCCAAAGGCACTTCCACCCGATTTATCAACACGAAACCACCAGTTGCCATTTACCAGGGGATTCCACCCCATTTAGGTAATCCATCTTAAACCACACGTTTTGATCTGGCCCCACCCGTTTTGGGCGTTCCTTTTGGTTTGCCCACCTCACCCAGCGAGACGAGACTCGGTGCCCATCGGATCGGTCCGATCGCCTGCAGGCCCTCGGGCCGCTTCAAGGGCTGCCAGGTGCAAAGCTCCCGCCTAGCGAGGCGCAACCGCCGGCAACGGGGCGCTGTAGAAGGAAGCCGAACTTATCTCGGTTGCGAAATCTGCTTTGCTGCTAAAAGTTTTTGACTTTTAGTGGTTGAATGGGGAAAACCCATTAGTTGGCAAAAAGTTTAAATCCTAACATCCAAGCAACATGCGCCAAAGTTATAAGGAAGCTTTAGAAGGAACCCGCTGTAGAAACAAGAAAACGCCCTTCCAGGGTTTGGGATTTGGGGTTTAAGGGCTTA